GATTGGGAAGGGTGTGAATGAGTTAATAAAAACTTAAACAGAACTTTGGTGCCAAGATCATTACTGGGCTGAGCAGTATTGGTTTTGCAGAGTGATGAGATCAGCTAAAATCCACCCTACCCTGCAGTGTCCCTGCTGCTCTCCTTCCTTTATTGGCCAGGTGAGAAAATGTCAGGAAGAAATTGCACAAAATGCACTTTTCTGCCTGGTTCAGAGTTTGTTTGTCTCAACTCTGAAGTTTTAGAAGAGAATAATTAAAACTCAGTACCAGTCAGAGCTCCAGAGCCTCCCCAGCTGGCAGACACTAAATGTGGTTTTCTCCTGGAAGTTATTTTGGGAATATTGGCACGGACACTCCTCAAGGTATCACACTGGGGGAACCCAAACCTTCCTGGTCTCAGTGCTGGAACAGAGCAGGGAATGCTCTGGGTCATCCTCTGCCCTTCCCTGGAGCAGGGGGAGGCTCTGGCTGCGTTCACACTCCCCGCAGGATCTCTGGCACAGCCTGGCCTCAGCCCTGCTGTGGATCCAGGGGTGAGACCCCTCCTGAGCCCCCTCTGCAGCAGGGCCTGGGGGGCAGAGCCTCCTCCTGCCCTGCTCTGCCTTCCTTTGCTCTCCTCCTGAGAATGAGAGCACCTGGAGCAGCTCAGGGTCCGTGAGCGCCCGGCCAGCACGGGTCTGGATTTGTCCTGGAGCTGTTGCTTGTTCCCTGCTCCTGGTTTGGGGGATCCCCTTAGGACAGAGCAGGGGGTTGGGCTGTGGTGGGCACTTCTTGGGCTCGTTTCCTTCACACCAGCTCAGCCCCAGCACGTTGGGAAGGGATCCCTGGATAGCCAAGGCCAGGCTGGACACTGGGGCTGGAGCAGCCTGGGACAGTGGGAGGTGTCCCTGCCATGGCTGGGGTGGCACCGGGTGGGATTTAAGGTCCTTCCAACCCAAATTCTCTGTTGAGCACAGGCAGTGCTGGAGCCAAGGGATTTGGAGGAAGGTGCAGCTCTCTTTCAGCCCAGTGTGGCTCTGTAAAACCCAGTGTAAAACCCCTCCCAGGGGAGGCTGGGAGCACTTGGGGGGCTCCTGTGGGGGGGATGCACCTTTGGAGTCCCTGTTTGTGGAGGTCCTGTCTGCTTGGCAGCAGGTTTCTGCCACCTCTCCTTCTCCCCTGGGAAAGAAAAGCCACTCCAACAGTTATTTATGGGTGTTTTTCTTTGGTGAAGAACCCCTGCAAATCTGCACTAAAATAATTAGGTCAGGGTGTTAGTTTAGAGCCTTTGTTTTTTATTGTGCCAACAGAAAGCAGATTAGGAGCAGTTTTCAGTGAGGTGTAGCTGGCACAGGACAGCTCTTTGCCCTGTACACGAGTCCTCAGCTCCTGTCAGAGCTCCAATCACAGGTTCTAAGCTCATCATGGGCTCCAAGAACTCATTGTGGTTTGCTGTGGGAGACAGCTCGGAACAGAGGAAGGCTTTGTGCTCTTGGCAGGTTCAGTGCAGGGTGGGATAACTCTGCCAGTTGTCTTTTATCTGCTGGCTGTAAATCTGTCAGCTCTGAAATCCAGTCACTGAGCTGGAGAAACCCACGAGCGCTCCCGAGCAATTAATTGGAATTAATTCTGTGGCTGTGTTTGGGTAACACGACACTGAAGTGTTTTGGAAAGGCTGAGGGGACCTTTCCAGAAGTATTATCTTTTTAATTAAAAATGAAGGTATGGAGGCTAGATAAATGTAACCAGGAGCAGTGCCTGCTGCTGAGGCTCTCCTAAGTAGGTTGTGTTTACTGTTCCCTGGCAGTTGTGAAGCTCCAGGTGACTGCATCCTGCTGCCTTTCGTAACAGCACCGGGGCTGTTTTGCAGAAGGTGATTAAATCAGACAGGGGTGTACATTGAGCAAACAGGGAAAATATCATTTTCTTATGTGTTAGAAATTAGGTCAAGGGATGAAACAGAAAAGTACAGGTAATGGAAATTGCTTTTTAGAAAAAACGCTCTGCAGCAAGTATTGGAAATAATAAACCAGTGCTGAAATATCAGATTTAGTGGCCATTACTTTTTAATGAAAATATTAATTTCTTTTCAAGAGGAACATTTATGAAAAGCCTGAATCTGTTTCTCCTACTTGAGACGTAGTTTAAGCTTCATCTTCAGCATTTCAAGTGTGCTCATGTCCAATGGGAGGTAATGAGCTATTCCAGTGGAATCCATTCAAATAGAAAGCACTGAGTTCTTCCCTCACGGTCAGCATTTTGGTTTATTTGGTAAATGCCTTTTCCTGTAAGCTGGCACAGACATCTCTGTCTGTCCTTTTAAAGGGCCTGGATTGAAGAACAACAGAACAGTAACAAACTCTCTGATAAAACACCAAGTTCTGAATTTTAAACCCTTAAAACTAAACTGCATTTTTCATTTTGTTCTCACTAATATGAGAAATGAGCTCTTTGTGCATTCGGCCTTCCCAGTGGCTTGGTGAATGGTTTTGGCTGTATTTTAAGAAAACAACATTTGATTTCTTCATTTATTTCCCCCCTTTCCTCCAGAAATTCCTGGCACTACTGCAGCCTCCAGTTGATGTTTGCTTGTTGGTGGTGTTAGAGGTGTTAGTGGTTTATTTGGCTTAATTAATCCATGAGCCTTAATTAGAAGGAATGCCTGGGGATGGAGTGTCCTGCCTTGCTTTCCCTGGGAGCTGTGTGGGCCGTGATCCAGCTCCCCTGGGGATAAAGGAGACCTGGAAAGACTTGGGAAGGCCTTGGAGTGTCCCAGGTGACACCTTTGGGTGCCCCAGGGGACACAGAGCGGGCAGGGAGGGGCTGCCCCAGGCCTGGCTCCCATCCCATGGCCCAGGGTAAAGTCAGGGAATGGTTTGGCTCGGAAGGGAATTAAATCCCATCTAGTGCCACGGCAGGGACACCTCCCACTGTGCCAGGGTGTCCCAGTGTCCAGCCTGGCCTTGGGCACTGCCAGGGATCCAGGGGCAGCCCCAGCTGCTCTGGCAATCCCAGCCCAGCCCTTCCCACCCTCCCAGGGAAGAGGAGCAGCCCGAGGTGCCCCAAAGCTCTCAGAACCCTGGCTCCATGTCTGTGAGTTGCCTTTACCTGCTGCAAGCTGCTTGTCCTGTGGCTGCAGTGTGCAGGCTGGAGTGAGCTGGGGCCGTGCTGGGCAGGGTGGAGATTCCCCAGCACGGCTGAGCTGGGGCTGCCACGGCTTTCCCTTCACCCTCCCAGATTTCTCCTTGCATTTTTGATTCTTTGGGGGATTAATGCTGCTGTCATTGATGATGGCAGCTACTCCCACTCCATTCCTTGGGGTTTTAGAACGGATTTAGATTAGATATTGGGAAGGAATTCCTGGCTGGGAGGGGCTGGGCTGGAATTGCCAGAGCAGCTGTGGCTGCCCCTGGATCCCTGGCAGTGCCCAAGGCCAGGTTGGACACTGGGACACCCTGGGACAGTGGGAGGTGTCCCTGCCATGGCAGGGTTGGCACTGGGATTTAAGGTCCCTTCCAGCCTAAACCATTCTGTGATTCTGTTTTCATTTTAATGCTACACAGGTTCTGCACACAGAATAAGAAGGGAAAAGAAGACCTATAAATAAACAGTATCATAAACTAGTTCTTAGACTAAACTATAGGAATAATCAAAGCAAGCAGACAGAAGTTAAACTGAGCTGCCCCTCCACTGCCAGAGCATCAGCAGCATGTGCTTGTAAAGGATATTTGTGCATCCTAGCAGCATCTGGGAACCCAGCACAGGAGCAGTGCCTGGAGTACCTAATGGAGTGTTGTTACTCAGGATGAACACAGACTGAGTTCTACACGTGGCTTTCTGTACCTGTCAGGACATTTTCTCCCCACCAACTCCACCGCTGCGATCAGTGTTGGAAGCCTGACTTAGGCCTGGCTTTATTGGTCTAGTTGGATGTTTTTCAGTGGGCTGAAGGGACACTAAAGGGATTAAGCAATTGTTACTCTACAGCTCTCTTAGGGCAGGGCAGCTGTGCTGCTGCTGGAGTGCCTGAGCACTTGGGAAACACGGTGTGCATGGAAGTAGCACTGGGAAACTGTCTGCCAGCTTGGGAGAAGGCTGCTCTTGTGCACTGGGTTTCTTGGGGCCCTTGGCCAAGGGGGCCAACAGGTTGTAAACAGGGTTTGTGGGACAAATCTGATTACTGCAATTACGGCAGAGTTAGTGCTCAGGCCAAACTAAGTCTGTGGAAAAATTCTGACCACCTGAGGCTGGGAAGCAAAGAGGAAAAACAGGATTAAGATGCATTAGTGCAGGTTATTGTCCTTGCTGCAGCGAGGTGGAAAGCAGGTACATGTGATGTTGGAAAACAAGCTGTGTTTTGGGGTGGGTTCTGCAGGAAATGGGACACGCTGCTGTGCCTGTGCCCGTTCCTCTCTGCTCCTCTCTCCCAACTCCCATCCCCTCCACACAGATCCTGGACATGCTGGCCAGTCCTTCACCCAGTTTGGTCTTCTCAGAGGTGAATCCAAGTGCTCCTGGGATCCAAGTGCCATTGGAGTGTGAGCAGTGAGAGGGGGGCTGCAGCCCCTGTTCCATAGCTGGGGGTCCCTCCCATTCCTCTCCTCTCTGCTGGCTCAGCCCTTGCTCCATTCCTGATCCCAGGGGGATTTTCCCCTCCTCGGCTCCTGGGTGGATCCAGGGTTATCCTGGGAAGGGACCCCCAAGGATCATGGAGTCCAACTCCTGACCCTGCACAGGACACCCCAACAATCCCATCCTGTGCCTCAGAGCCTTGTCCAAGTGCTCTGGCAGGAATTTGGGGAATTAACCTAAAACCATCCTGATTGTGGAGAACCTTCCACTGAGGCAGAGCTCCTGGTACAGTAACACAGCACTCAGAATTCAGCACAGCTCACTCTGAAAAATCCTGTGTCTCAAATAAAACCAGTGAGCTGCTCATGTTCTGTTGTGTAGGATCTATAAAAATAAAATAATTTCAAAGGGCTCACCCCCCTTCACCTGTGCTGGGTTTTGGTTGCAGGTGCTGGAAGCATTTGCTGGGCGCCTGATTAAGGTGGGAGTTTTATCCAGGAGGGATATTCCCAGCCTGACCAAATACCAGATCATCCTGGCAAGGGACCAGTACAGGAAGAACCCCTCTGCACAATATGCAGTAAGTTCTTTATTTATTTCATGCTATTAGAGTAGTGAATAAATAGGAATAATCCATTATTACAATATTTCCGGAGATATTTTAAGTAGATTTCTGTTTTTAGCTGTGGAATAAAATAGAATCACAGCACGGTTTGGGATGGAAGGGATCTTTAAGATCATTTATGAAATCTATTTATGTATTTTAAGATCATTTAGGAAAAATATTCCTAATTGTTCCATGTTTCTGGATGCCAATATAGAAGAGTTAAGGTAAAGATCAAGCACTCCATTTAAATGAAATTGCTTTGAGAACTTACACTGTAATCACTGACAGCCAAGTTTTCATTTTCCCCTCAAAGGCATATTCCTGCTCCTGTTTTTTGGTAAATCCTCGTGGAATGGTCAAATTTTGTAACCTTAAAGAAAATTGCCTAATAAAAGACTGTGTATCTCAAAAAAAAGAGCAATGGGAAATCTCCTTCACTGTAAACAGGGAAATTTTCCTGACTTAATTCCACGACCTGGGTGGATGTGCCAGAAATCCCTGGTTTTCCCAGATGCTGATGGTTCAGCTGTCAGAGTCTGAGGGTTGATGAGCTAATTTTGGGAGATAATAGAGGTATTTTGGAGAGTATTTTGGAGGTGGAAGAGGATTGCCCTCACTGAGCATTGTGCAGTCTGTCCTCTGAGGGCTCTGATGGACAAACTCCAAAGTGGGCATCACTTTGGGGTTTGCTCTGCTCCTCAGGTGTCACTCTGGTTTTGGGCAGGAATTGCAGTGGGATTCCTGCTCTTCAGCCACTTCCTAACTCCATCAGAATCTGCTTTTCTCCCCCAGGGAATCCATCAAGGCGTCATTGAAGGAGACTTTGCCCTTTGTATCAGTCTGTACCACGGGTACGAGCTGCTGCTGCAGATGGGAATCCGCTCCTTATTCATCTACCTGTGGGGAATCATGGATGGATCCAAAGGTGAGATCTCCTCAGGAGCATCCTTCCTTTCAGCTCCACTCTTCTCCTTCCATTTGCCTCGCTGCATGGCTGGTTTGCCACAAAACACCTTAAAGAATGAGGGGCTGCAGATGGATTTGGTGTTTTGTTCCCCTTGTTTACAGAATTCCCAGAATGAACAGGTTGGGAGAGACCTCCTAGACCATGGAGTCCAGCCCAGCCCCAGCAGCTCACCCCAGCCCTGGCCATTCACAGAATCACAGAATGAGCAGGTTGGGAGAGACCTCCACAACCATGGAGTCCAACCCAGCCCCAAGAGCTCAGCCCAGCCCTGGCCCCCAGTGCCACATCCAGGCTTTGTTAAACACACCAGGGATGGTGACTGCACCACCTCCCCAGGCAGCCATTCCAGAACTTTATCACCTTGCTGGGAAAAACCTTTTCCTGCTATCCAGCCTGAATTTCCCTTGGCACAGCTGGAGGCTGTGTGCTCTGGTTGTGTCAGTGCTGGAGACAGAGCCCAGCCCAGCTGAGCACAGGCACCTTTCAGAGCTGTGCAGGGTGAGGAGGGCACCCCTGAGTCTCTGTTTCTCCAGGGGAGCACCCCCAGCTCCCTCAGGGCTTCCTCTCAGGGTTGGTGTTCCCAGCCCCTCTCCAGCCTCGTTGCCCCCTCTGGATGTGCTCGAGCCTCTCAACATCCTTCCCAAGCTGAGGGGCCAGGACTGGCACAGTGAGGTTTGCTGAAGGCAGAGTCTGGGAAAGCAAACAGAATCCTGAGGTGTTCCAACTCTCTCCAAAGGGTTGTCCCGCACCAAGAGCGAGCTGGGGCGCAACGAGGACTTCATGGAGCTCTACCAGCAGCTTCAGGACATGTTCTCAGACACTGCTGTGGCTCCTGAGAATGGAAGTGTTGGAAAGAGCACAACAGGTCAGGATTCCCCCCTCAGGGACAGAATATTCCTGTTTAAAAGTTGTGCTGCACTGGCTGCTGCTCTTTATTCCAGATTGAATTCCCAATGTTCTGTCTCTCCCTCCCTCTCACTCTTCCCTCACTGGTTTTAGCTACTTTCAAGGAAGTTTTCTATGTTTGAAGTTTTTAATTTGCTCCAAAATGAAGGTTAAAATACAACTGTTTCACTCTAAGTCTTTTCCAGTATTACTCTAACAAAAGTAACAGTACTTTCTCAAAAACTGGGTTTGACAAATGTTCTTCTGTCAGCAGTTTATTGTTTTGTTTAGAACCAATATGTAAATATCAATATCAATATTTGGGTCTGATTCAGATAATTACAGTGGGAGGGAATGAAGTTCACTGAACCTTCCTTGAGAATGGAAGTGTTGGAAAGAGCACAACAGGTCAGGATTCCCCCCTCAGGGACAGAATATTCCTGTTTAAAAGTTGTGCTGCACTGGCTGCTGCTCTTTATTCCAGATTGAATTCCCAATGTTCTGTCTCTCCCTCCCTCTCACTCTTCCCTCACTGGTTTTAGCTACTTTCAAGGAAGTTTTCTATGTTTGAAGTTTTTAATTTGCTCCAAAATGAAGGTTAAAATACAACTGTTTCACTCTTTTCCAGTATGACTCTAACAAAAGTAACAGTACTTTCTCAAAAACTGGGTTTGACAAATGTTCTTCTGTCAGCAGTTTATTGTTTTGTTTAGAACCAATATGTAAATATCAATATCAATATTTGGGTCTGATTCAGATAATTACAGTGGGAGGGAATGAAGTTCACTGAACCTTCCTGCTTGTTGCAGGTTTATTTCCATCTTTCATTACTTTATTTCCTTTCCAGCATTAGAAAAGAAAAAGGAATTTGTCTATAGCCATCCAAAATTAAAGAAATTGGAGGAGATTGTAATAGAACACTTCAGATCCTGGAAACAGGGAGGTTCTGGTGAGTGCCAACAACTCAGAGGAAAACCTGGGAATGGAAACAAGGATTGTATCCCCCTGATTGATTTCCTCCTTTGTGCTGCTTTATTGCTTTGATTGTTTGTGCATCTTCCCCTCTGGAAAACTTCACCACAAGATTTCTGTAAGATAAAACTTCCTATAAATTCTCATTGTTAATTTGATATAAACTGCTCTAACAGCTGAGTAAAACAGGGATAGGGAGCTCATTCCTGGGGCTCCCACCTTTCCTGCTGGTTCTGTCCTGGCAGCCCCCCTCAGGGCCCTGCTGCAGAGTTCCATGAACACATTTAAGGACTTTGAGCATAAAAGTTCTGATATCCAGCCTGAGGATAAGAATTAACAATTCTCAGGCATCAATTGGAAGTTCAGACCCTTCAGTTACATTCACCTGTCCCTCATTCTTTTTTCATCTTGATGAAGGCATCATTCAGATCTCTTTGGTTTTGGGATGTTTCAGCTTCTTGATTCCAGCCTTTGGAATGATTACATGAGTAATAATAACATTTGTTTTGCATCTTGTTCACTTTTTATCTTTCCTGTTTGGATCTTTCTGCTCTGTGAAGTTCTGATAATTTCTGACCTGCCCGTCCCTCTTTTTTTTGTTTGTTTTTGTGTTTTTTTTCTTTCTTTCTTGGATGCCCTGTTCTCAGCAAACCTTTGACATGACTGATGTTTTCTACTAGGCAACTCTGTTTCCCAGTTCTGTGTTTGTAACTTTAGGATATGTCCCAATGCATTTAATGCAATTCACTCCTTTTCTCCCCTTCCCATTCAGAGTTCTTTCTGTCCTCCCAACCTCCTTCCCTCCTTTTGCCTTCCCTTTAACAACCCTACATTTGAGGTGGAGAGGGAGGGAATGCATGCCCAAAGTCTTCAGCCATACCTGGATCAGCACCAGCCCTTTCTGTTCCATTCATGATCCCTGGAAGTGTCCAAAGCCGGGCTGGACACTGGGGCTTGGAGCAGCCTGGGACAGTGGGAGGTGTCCCTGCCATGGCAGGGGTGGGATGGGATTTGAGGTCCCTTTCCAACCCAAACCAGTCTGGGATTCTGGTTTTGCTGTCCTGAGATGGAGACGACGGCATCGTGAACTTCATTCCAAAACACTTCCCGTCCAACCCCAGCTTTTCACAGTGGCTTTGGTAAGGGTGCCTCAGATAAAGACATTCTCATTCTCCATGAGCATGAGAGCATGCTTTGATCCAAAGAGGAATTTCAAGGATGTGGATCTTGGAGCATTTTCTGCCCATTTGCTCTTCCCATTAAGTGAGACGAGAGCTGTGAACATGTAACTTGTGAGGGTTGCCCTGTCCTTTTTTACTGATCATTCTATTAAAACCTGACATTTTCAAATCCAGCAGATGAAGACAAGAGCGAGGGCTCCCCTGGGGACACGAGGGTGATGATCTTCTCCTCGTTCCGGGACAGCGTGCAGGAGATCGCCGAGATGCTGGCGCGGCTCAGCCCGGCCGTGCGGGCCATGACCTTCGTGGGACACTCCTCGGGCAAGAGCACCAAGGGCTTCACCCAGAAGGAGCAGCTGGAGGTGAGGCAGGAGGAGGCTTGGACTAGGAATTAGTGATGAGGAGCAGTAATTGTGTAAATAACTCCAGGAGTATGGACTGTGTGGAAGTGGCTGAGCTGTGTCGCTGGTAAATCCCTGTGGAGTCCAGAGGATCCAAAATGATACTCACTGAACAAAATAGACCAATAATTTATATATGTATGTTATATATAAATATAATTATTATAATTTATATATTTACATTATATTAACGACTGCTAAATTTAGAGGTCAAAAATCTGGGGAAATATGCGAATACGTGCTGTGGGAATTTTATTTTTCTTCTAGGTAGGAAAGATAAGATCTAGCATTAAATTCTGATCTAGCAAAGCTAAAAAATAGACAACCCCTAAAATATTTAATTGCTAAGTTGGGAGGATCAGTTTACAAGTTTTATATGGTTGGAGACAGGATAAGGTGGGCTTTTTTCCCTTTATTTTAGAGTGAAAGAGTGACCGTGCTGATGCTGGTCACACTGGGGTGTGGTGTTTGATCACAAGGTAGCAGCTGGAAAATTTAAAAAGACAAAATTTGTTGTTTTAGAATTGTCTTGGTTTGAAAAGCCAGATGTCTGCTGAGGAAGGCAGGAGCCTCCCCTGAAATGGAAAATGTAAACCCCCTCCTTAGGAATTATTGTAATTTTGAAATTAAGGGGCTCTCAGGCAAAGATATGGGAGCAGGAATAACAGTTCTTTATTAGGGAAAAAAATTAATTAAAAAAAAATCTTACAACTCAGGACAAGGATACAAATCAGTTTTCCTGGCTGAGCTGCTCAGTCCTCTGGTCGATGCTTTGAGTAGATGGGGACGAGTGAAGAGATGTGAATCTTGACTCCATGTTTCAGGAGGCTGGTTTATTAGCTTATGATATATATTCTATTAAAATACTGTATTAAAACTATACTAAAAGAATAGAGAGAAAAGGATTCATCAGAAGGCTAGAAAGGAATGGAATGGATGACAATAAAGGCTCCTGACTCCCAGAGAGTCCGAGCCAGCTGACTGTGAGTGGCCATTAATTAGAAACAACCACCATGCCCCAATCCCAGCTGCACCTGCTGCATCCCACAGCAGCAGATAGTTATTGTTTGCATTTCTTTCCTGTGGCTCCTCAGCTCCTCAGAAGAAAAAATCCTAGCAAAGGACTTTTCATAAAATACCATAAATATGATTTTTCATGATGTCATCCACACTCCCATTCCCGCTGTCCCCGCAGGTGGTGAGGCGTTTCCGGGAGGGCGGGTACAACACCCTGGTGTCCACCTGCGTGGGCGAGGAGGGGCTGGACATCGGCGAGGTGGATCTGATCGTGTGCTTCGACGCGCAGCGCAGCCCCGTGCGCCTGGTGCAGCGCATGGGCCGCACCGGCCGCCGGCGCCACGGCCGCATCGTCGTCATCCTGGCCCAGGGCCGCGAGGAGAGGGTGAGTGGGGCACGGCCAGGGGGTCAGGCACCGCACTGTAGCACCCTGGGGTGTTCATGGTGGGTGCTGTTACCTGTTTCCCAATAAGCGTCTCCTGTGGAAAAGGCGCTTGGGTGAGTGTGGGGGTGCCAGTCGTGGGTTTGTCTGGGTCTGCTTGAAGGCACTTGAGGCAGTAGTTCATGTTCAGGCTCAGGTGTTTATTATTTCTTATCAGTAAAGCAGTCTCGTTGCTGTGAGTTCTGCACCTTTTCATTAGAAGGCACAAAATGGCCAACAATCTCTTGCAGGTAAGTGTTCAGGCAGAGCAGTCAATGCCACACACCCCACACTCACCACAGCTAGCTCAGCCAAGAGAGGCAGAAAAGTCTTTTGTAGGATAAATTCCAGCCAAGGTTTGTTCCAGCACGCCAAAGGGAAATCAGGGGTAAAAGACCTGGCCATGTGGTGTGCACAAGGTTAAGGATGGGAGGGCATGGGGTGGCACAAAGGGCAGGCAAAGGGCACTGCCCTACAGGGAGCACAGGGCACTGGGAACAGGGGAGGGAGAAACAATGAGAATTTGGGATATATGGAGAAAGGAACTGGGATGGATCATGGTGTTGTGCAAGACTCCATGGGGAAGTCCTTTCTGTCTGCCTAGGTGGGGAAAACTCTGTGGTGGGTCTTTCCATGGCAGTGCCCTGGGGATTTGCCTGAGGGGGAAGGATTCAGAGGATTCCACACTCAGGGAGCATCCCAGCCCAGACACCCAACAATCCCACCCTGGACATCCCTGGCAGTGCTGTCCCAATGCTCCTGCAGCTCTGGCAGCCTCAGGGCTGTCCCCATTCCCTGGGGAGCCTGGGCAGTGCCAGCACCCTCTAGGGAAGAGCCTTTCCCTGATCTCCAGCCTGACCTGCCCTGGCACAGCTCCAGCCCTTTCCTGGGTCCTGTCCCTGTGCCAGGGAGCAGGGATTGGAGCTGTCCCTTGGGACAAAGCTGCAGCCCCCAGGGAGCCTCTGCTCAGCCTCTTCATTCACTGTTACAGGAATCTCCAGCACAGAACCCTGGAGAGGTTTGGGTTGGATGGGACCTCGAAGATCCTCCAGTTCTGCCCCCTGCCATGGCAGGGACACCTCCCACTGTCCCAGGGTGTCCCAGTGTCCAGCCTGGCCTTGGGCACTGCCAGGGATCCAGGGGCAGCCACAGCTGCTCTGGCAATTCCAGCCCAGCCAGCAATTCCCAGTTCCCAATCTCCCATCCATCCCTGCCCTCTGGCAGTGGGAGCCATTCCCTGTGTCCTGTCCCTCCATCCTTGTCCCCAGTCCCTCTCCAGCTCTCCTGGAGCCCCTCCAGGCCCTGCCAGGGGCTCTGAGCTCTCCCTTCTCCTCTCCAGGGAACATTCCCAGCTCTCCCAGCCTGCCATGTCACCAAGTATTAACCTGTGATTCCAGGGCTTTCCACGGGTGCAGAGGAAGGTGTGGGGTGGGGTGTGGAGCAGGGGGGACTCTGGCAGTGCTGGTGATGACACTGGCTGTTCAGGCTGCTGCTTACGGGGCCGGTGACGCCACTGGCACCCAGAGCTGGCTTTGGCGGCCGCGCTCTTGCGTGTGAGGATGAGGAGATCGGCTTAGGTGCAAATCCACTTTGGCTGGGCTCCTGCAGCCCAGCACTCAAGCAGAGCATGATTAATCATCTCTGAGTACAGACTGTCCCTTGGGACATCCGTGTCCCACTGGAGGTGTGCTGGGAGCTGGGGGATCCCACCACAGCTGGGCCAGCTGCATCCCACAGCCCTGCAGGGCTTGGACTCACCTTTGGATTGGGATTGGACAGGGCAGGATTTGGGCAGCACAGGCTGGGCACTCCCTGCTGCCATCACCACTGAAAGGAGGTACCAATGCATCCAAGATCTGTGTAAATCACTTGTAAACCTGAAACTTCAGATTCTTGGTATTATTTCTTTATTCCAGTCAGTGCTGCAGCTCTGCTTGGGATTTGTGGATGGCAGGGATTTAGTTCTGAATGAGACTACAAAGAATCCTCTCTGGGAGGAAAAAAGTTTCCCCTTTGAAGAGATGAGAGTTAAAAATGATAAACCTGAGTGGAGCTTGTAAATGGATATTTTCTCATGCTGCTTACGGAGGCTGGTTACTACTGAAAGCTCTGCTCTGTAATGGGATATAAAACAGTCCCTTAAGTTCCTTGGAGCTTCACTTAAGTAGCTGGATTACTGTGTTGTCCAGATTTTCTCAGATGTCTTTGAAGCAGAACCTCCCCCCAGGTAGAACAGTCATTGTATATTTTTTTTGTTTTTGAGGTCAGGAAATAAGTTTAGTTGGAAATCAATATTGTCTTGGTGGGTTTGTTTGGTTTATTTTGAGCGTGTCTTTTGGGGTTGTTGTTGGGCTTTTTAAGTTTAGCAGAACTGCAAAGAGACTCAATGTGGAGGTTCTTCCCCATCACTTAATTTTGCTGCTAAATAATTAATGTCCCTTTATTAATTTATGGAATTTGTTTTGGAGTTTTTTTTTTGGTTTTTTTTTTTTTTTTTCCCTTTGTTTTAGTTTTGAGATTTGTTTTGTTTTGCTTGCTTTAGTTTTGGGGCCGTTTTTAATCAAACCACTTCAGGTCAATCACAAAGCTTTAGAAGATGTTTTATTGGGAGAAAGGGGTCAGTGCAGGTCTGGCAGCATGATGTTGGCAGGAATTCCTGTCAGCTCAGTGTTTATTCCGTGGCTCCCACGTGTTCCCAGGGCAGCCTCTCCACGTGGCAGCTCCCGTGAGCCCCAGGCTTGGGATGTCCTCTGGAGCTGCTGGGATGGGGCTGGGGGGGTCCCCTGGAGCTGCTTAGCACAGGGAAGGGAAAAGCCACTGAAGTCACAACTCTGTGATGCTGCTAATTTGGTAGCACCACGTTTGTCTGCCATAAGAACACTGGGGTTTGACTGTTCTAGGATTAAAAAGTTATTTTTTTGATGCCTGAGGGGTTTATCAGAGCTGGCTGTGGGCCTCTTCCAGTTTTATTCAGGGAATTTTTAAAAATTTAATTTATTTCATTTATTTTTGCTCCCTGAAGTCCTCTCTGTCAGGTGGCAGCTGCCCCCCTGGGACACTCAGGGTCTCACAGGGGCTTGGGGAGGAGCAGAGCACAAAACCTCCTTGGGGGAGGCACTTCCAGAGGGAGGCCCCAGTTTCTCTCCTCACATTCCCCAGCTTTGCCATGGTTTCTCCGTTGCACAATAAAATGGAGTGTAATTAAAAGGACTCAGAGCACTCATGACATCAACAAATCATCTTAGGCCTTTTTTTTTTTTTTTGCTTGAGCTCCTTTCCCTGTTTCTGGTGTAATCTAATTTACATCATCCCTGTATCAGTGACAGCTTGTAACTTCCCCCAGGCAAGGGCTGTGCTCCTTTCTCACTCTCCAGTGCTGTGCCTGCTTCTGGTCCATTAAAAAACCCCAAACCAAACAACACCTGGCTGAGGGAGCAGGAAATAATGAGAAACCCCACAGACACTGAGGTGTTCTTTTAGTTTTGATCAAATGCTGTGAAAAAACCAATCAGCAGATAAATTAATCTGTTTACCTTCTCTTTCAGACCTACAACCAAAGCCAGTGTAACAAAAGGAGCATCCACAAAGCCATTTCAGGGAACAAAACCCTTCATTTCTACCAGCACAGCCCACGGATGGTTCCGGAAGGCATCAATCCCAAAGTGCACAAAATGTTTATCACTGCTGAAAAACAGGAGCAGAGCTCCTCGAGGCCGCTTTCCAAAGAGAGGAGATGCAGTTCCCTGCAGCACAAATCTGCTCTCTCTGCCTGTGTCACTGGTAAGAGGATTATGGTGTTTCCAGCACCTCCAGCCCTCCCTCCTGGGGCTCTCAGGGTCACTCTGGCAGCTCAGACACTGCCCAGGGCTTCTCCTGGGCATCCTCACAGCTCTGCCCTTGCATATCCACATCCTGAGTCAGCCTTGGTTCATCCTCCTCCATGGAGTCACTCTCTGAAAGTCACTCCAGCTGCACACAGAGGAGGCAGGTGTTCTTCCCAAAATTCCACAATCCCAGACTGGACTGGGTTGTGGGGACTTTAAAGTTCCCATGGGCAGGGACACCTTCCCCTATCCCAGACTGCTCCAACCCTGTCCAAGCTTGGACACTCCCAGGGATGGGGCAGCCACAGCTGCTCTGGACATCGTGGCTTTGTAAATTACAACGAAACAGAAATGTTTGAAAACCAAAGGATTTTGCTGTGAGGAAAAGGAGAAATCAAGGGTAGGATATTTATGAATGAATTCCTTAGAGCTTCACTTAAGTAGCTGGATTACTGTGTTGTCCAGATTTTCTCAGATGTCTTTGAAGCAGAAGCTCCCCCCAGGTAGAACAGTCATATATTTTTTTTGTTTTTGAGGTCAGGAAATAAGTTTAGTTGCAAATCAATATTGTCTTGGTGGGTTTGTTTGGTTTATTTTGAGCGTCTCTTTTGGGGTTGTTGTTGGGCTTTTTAAGTTTAGCAGAACTGCAAAGAGACTCAATGTGGAGGTTCTTCCCCATCACTTAATTTTGCAGCTAAATAATTAATGTCCCTTTATTAATTTATGGAATTTGTTTTGGAGTTTTTTTTTTGGTTTTTTTTTTTTTTTTTCCCTTTGTTTTAGTTTTGAGATTTGTTTTGTTTTGCTTGCTTTAGTTTTGGGGCCGTTTTTAATCAAACCACTTCAGGTCAATCACAAAGCTTTAGAAGATGTTTTATTGGGAGAAAGGGGTCAGTGCAGGTCTGGCAGCGTGACGTTGGCAGGAATTCCTGTCAGCTCAGTGTTTATTCCGTGGCTCCCACGTGTTCCCAGGGCAGCCTCTCCACGTGGCAGCTCCCGTGAGCCCCAGGCTTGGGATGTCCTCTGGAGCTGCTGGGATGGGGCTGGGGGGGTCCCCTGGAGCTGCTTAGCACAGGGAAGGGAAAAGCCACTGAAGTCACAACTCTGTGATGCTGCTAATTTGGTAGCACCACGTTTGTCTGCCATAAGAACACTGGGGTTTGACTGTTCTAGGATTAAAAAGTTATTTTTTTGATGCCTGAGGGGTTTATCAGAGCTGGCTGTGGGCCTCTTCCAGTTTTATTCAGGGAATTTTTTTAAAATTTAATTTATTTCATTTATTTTTGCTCCCTGAAGTCCTCTCTGTCAGGTGGCAGCTGCCCCCCTGGGACACTCAGGGTCTCACAGGGGCTTGGGGAGGAGCAGAGCACAAAACCGCCTTGGGGGAGGCACTTCCAGAGGGAGGCCCCAGTTTCTCTCCTCACATTCCCCAGCTTTGCCATGGTTTCTCCGTTGCACAATAAAATGGAGTGTAATTAAAAGGACTCAGAGCACTCATGACATCAACAAATCATCTTAGGCCTTTTTTTTTTTTTTTGCTTGAGCTCCTTTCCCTGTTTCTGGTGTAATCTAATTTACATCATCCCTGTATCAGTGACAGCTTGTAACTTCCCCCAGGCAAGGGCTGTGCTCCTTTCTCACTCTCCAGTGCTGTGCCTGCTTCTGGTCCATTAAAAAACCCCAAACCAAACAACACCTGGCTGAGGGAGCAGGAAATAATGAGAAACCCCACAGACACTGAGGTGTTCTTTTAGTTTTGATCAAATGCTGTGAAAAAACCAATCAGCAGATAAATTAATCTGTTTACCTTCTCTTTCAGACCTACAACCAAAGCCAGTGTAACAAAAGGAGCATCCACAAAGCCATTTCAGGGAACAAAACCCTTCATTTCTACCAGCACAGCCCACGGATGGTTCCGGAAGGCATCAATCCCAAAGTGCACAAAATGTTTATCACTGCTGAAAAACAGGAGCAGAGCTCCTCGAGGCCGCTTTCCAAAGAGAGGAGATGCAGTTCCCTGCAGCACAAATCTGCTCTCTCTGCCTGTGTCACTGGTAAGAGGATTATGGTGTTTCCAGCACCTCCAGCCCTCCCTCCTGGGGCTCTCAGGGTCGCTCTGGCAGCTCAGACACTGCCCAGGGCTTCTCCTGGGCATCCTCACAGCTCTGCCCTTGCATATCCACATCCTGAGTCAGCCTTGGTTCATCCTCCTCCATGGAGTCACTCTCTGAAAGTCACTCCAGCTGCACACAGAGGAGGCAGGTGTTCTTCCCAAAATTCCACAATCCCAGACTGGACTGGGTTGTGGGGACTTTAAAGTTCCCATGGGCAGGGACACCTTCCCCTATCCCAGACTGCTCCAACCCTGTCCAAGCTTGGACACTCCCAGGGATGGGGCAGCCACAGCTGCTCTGGACATCGTGGCTTTGTAAATTACAACGAAACAGAAATGTTTGAAAACCAAAGGATTTTGCTGTGAGGAAAAGGAGAAATCAAGGGTAGGATATTTATGAATGGTGCAGACCCTCTTGGAGCAAAATTAGGAGAATTCTCTTGGAGACTTTTTAGCTGATGCAGTTCAATGGCATGGGAATGCTCAGGAAATTGAACAGAATCCTAAGATAGGAAAAAAGAGCTATTTTTTTTATAAATACTTGGGAATTTTCCTGCTCTATCTCTTTATTAGTGCTTTCTGTAAAGACCAACAGCAACTTTTTGAAAGAAGAAACTCGAAGCCTTGGGAAAGTTCCTATTTCTGATTAAACAGACACAGCTGCTGGAAAACAATCAGAGCACAACATGGAATGAAAATAATCATTTTGGAGCATTTGTTGGTCTGTCCTAGAAAAGAGAAACGAGCAGGGAGAGCATAAAGCAAACGATAATGCTGGGAATGTTCCTGCTGTGGGAGCAGCACAGGGGCTGGAATTGCCCAGTGCCCTCTGTGGGAGCCACGTGGGCAGCTGCCAGGGCTGGGGCTCTGCCTCCCCAAAGGGACCAGGGCTGAGAGACAGAGGTGGCAGGGCTGAGTCCTCAAAGTGACCAGGGTAGAATCCCCAGAGTGACCAGGGCTCAGTCCCCAGAGTGTCCAGGGTTGATTTGCTGAAGGTGGCCAGGGCTGAGTCCCCAGAGTGACCAGGGTTGAGTAGCCAAGGTGATCAGAGTTGAGTAGCCAGAAGTGGCCAGGCCAGGGCTCAGTCCCCAGGGTGGCCAAGGCCGAGTCCCCAGGGTGGCCAGGGTTGATTTGCTGAAGGTGGCCAGGGCTGAGTCCCCAGAGTGACCAGGGCTGAATTGCCAGAGGGCGGCCAGGGTTGAGTAGCCAAGGTGATCAGAATTGAGTAGCCAGAAGTGGCCAGGCCACCCCTCAGTCCCCAGGGTGGCCAGGGCTCCGTGCCCCTCCTGCCAGCCAGGGCTGCCCTGTGCAGGTCACTGAGCACCACCCTTGTGTGGAATCCCCCTGGTTGCTGGGTGAACCAAGGGCTGCTCCTGATTTTAGTGACCCTCAGGATAAAGCTGAAAAGAGGACAAAGAAAGGAGTTGACTTTTTTGCATTTTCTCTTCATTTTGCTGCCTGTTTCCACGATAAAAAATGGGTAAAGCTGGCAGCTCTGGGTGAGCTGGGTGTGTTCTTATCTCTGCTCTCACTCTGTTGTTGAGCTCCAGCTCATCCTCAGGTTTCTCCGTGGCAGAAACTGAGCTGTCAAGGGCTGAGTTACCACGGGAATTTCAAGCATTCTCCTTGTTTTCTTGTCAAAATAAATGCAACCATGGCATCATTTAGGTTGGAAAACTCTGAGTCCATTGAGTCCAACCATTCCCCAGCAGTGCCCAGGCCACTACTGCCCTGTGTCCCCAAGTGCCACATGCACAGGGCTTTAATCCCTCCACCCCTGCCCTGGGCAGTTCCAAGGCCTGACCACCCTCTCCATGAAGAAATTCCTCCTCATGTCCAACCTGAGCCCTCCCTGGCACAGCTTGAGGCTGTTTCTTCTGGTCCTGTCACTCATTACCTGAAAATATACACATTTCCTGTTCTTCTTAATTTGATCCAATTTCTATTAATTTTACTTCACTCCAAAACCTCTTCCATAACTTTTGTCTGTCAGCCCCAGAAGGATCCAATATCTTGTGCTGTCCCATCATTAATCAAGTGTGTCCTGCAGTTTTCAGAGCTCTCCTTCAAAAAATGCAGCAAAAAATCCCTTTACTTCATAAGCCTTGTATATAACTTTTGTATTTTAATCTTTTTTCTCTCTGATATTTGGATTTTGTTTGTTTGGGGTTTTTTTTTAAGAGTTTGCTAAAGTGAGGAGCTTGTTAATATTGTTGTTCCTGGGAGCTGAATCTTATTTCAAGCTATAAGTAATTCCTTTTTCTTTTTGCTTTTGTCCAGATGAAATCTCATTTTCTTAATTCTTTTGCTGGTTCTCCACAATTCTTCTACTCTCTCATTTCAGATGGATCAATTTTGAGTCATCAATAACTGTGGGTTTTGTTTGATTTTACAATTTCACGTTATTTCTATAATTGTTGGTTTTATCCTAATGATAATTGGTTTGGACTCACTTTTTAAGATTACCAACACCTGCTTTAGGGTTTAAACACCTGCTCTGTGGGGTTTTCGTGCCTTTCCAGTTGCCTGTGGCTAATTCTTGCTCTCTTCCCACTTCAATAGTTCTGGAGAAAAACAAGGAAAATAACATGGATGGTTTGAGTGCTGTGTTTGTGTCTGGTAGGGCCTGGCATCCCTAACTCGGAATGTTCTGGAGGATAATTTCCCATGGGACAGCACCAGCTGCTTCCCATGGAGGGGAGAGGCTGTGCCAGGGACTGCAGGACCTGCTGACTCCCAGCCCTGATCCAAACAGCCTTGTCAGCCTCCCTGAGGATGGGAATGTTCTCCTGTGCTCCCGTTCTCTGATGGCAGCACTCATGTTTGTCCAGGTCCCTCTTTCTTGTGTTTGGGAAATGTTCTGGGCAGGCACAATCCTCCCCAGCAGGGAGCCCAGAGCTCTGGGAATCGTCTGTTCCCAGGTTGTGCCAGCTGCTCCAGGGCTCCTTGCCTGGCAGGGTTGCACCCCGGCTCACCTGGGCTGATATCACAGGTTCATCTTGTCTCTGTCCCACGAGCTGGAACAGCACTGAAGTCATTGTTGTTCCCAGCGTGTCCTGGTGGGGCTGGGTGGAACAGATCCTCAGGAACAGGGAATGGGCACAGCCTGAGGCTGCCAGAGCTCCAGGAGGGTTTGGACAGTGCTGCCAGGGATGCCCAGGGTGGGATTGTTGGGGCTGTGGGACAGGGTAGACTGGGTGGTCTTTGTGGGTCCCTTCCCACTCAGGATATTCCTGATTCTGTGATCCCTGTGGGTCCCTCTGGTCCCTTGTGCAGGCTGCCCCAGAGCAGAGGCTGGAGGGAGTTCCAGAATAAAGCAGGGATTGATTCCAAGGATCTCCTCCATGGATCCACCTTGGGCAGCACAAGAGCCCAGCCAGGGCTGCAGCCAAGATGAACCCAAATGGTCCCAAAATGCACGAGCGCTCCCGGGGTCTCTCCCTGGGATCAGCTCTGCTCCATGTGCACATTGCAGTTCAGTGTCCAATTCCAGCTCAGCCCCTGCACTCCCATCCTGCTTGTTTTTCTCTCTGCAGCCCACGGGGTTTGTGCTCCTGGGCTGAGATTTGGATCATTTGTCCTTGGTGCCCAGCTGGAGCAGGAATTGTTTTGTCTCCCTGCTCTGTGCACAGAGCTCACCATGCCCTGATGTGAAGCCCAGCCCCACACACTAAAGCAGCACAGAATCTGAAAATATAAAAGCCAAACCTGAGGCATCACTTTCCCACTCAACATCCCACGATTCTGTGATCCCTGTGGGTCCCTTCCCACTCAATGTTCCCTGATTCCAAATGCTTCTCTGATAATTGTTCTTAATTTCCTTTCCTTCAGGTCTCTTTTTTCTTCTTCTCCCAGGTCCACATCTCTTCAGGATGTGACCTCCACACTTGAGTCAGAAATATTCCATAGCAGTGTTGATCTTCTGGGATGTTTTAGTGATGATGGCCTTAAGAACATCAGTGTTGGTTCATTTTTCCAGGTTTTCCTGAGCAGGACGTGAGCAGGACTCTGCACTCAGGGTTTGCTCTGTGCAGGCACAGCCCCTGGCAGCTGGAACTTGACAGGATTGAGAGATCCTGATTCCTGTTCTGTGGCATTAATTCCCAAAAGAGCCTGGGCTGCAGACCAACCCCAGATGCTGGCAAATTACCTTCATTATTTTTCTCCCAGCTCCACACATCTGGCCTGAAAACAATCACATTCTCAACTCTGATTCTTTGGGATCACTTCCCACCCAGGGCTGTTTAAGGGATTTGGCATTTTTTGGGATAGTGATTTATATCTGTCTCTCTCTATTTTTTATGTGATGCCCTCCCCCCAAACAGCTGTTTAATGTTATTTATTCATATAAGGCATTAACACTCTTTGGATGTTTGTCCCTGGCTTCAGATTCTCTGCATCTGCTTTTGGTTGTGGCTCAGAGGATTTTTTTCTTGTCCCTGGTACCACACCAAGTCCTTTTATTCTGTGCATCCCTTTTCCTACAGCAGGTGACATTTTCCTGTTGTTTTTTTTTTTCCACCCACAGGCCAAAAGCAAATGAACTCCCATGGGAGCTGGTGCTTGTCACCTGAGGAGTTTGAAATATGGGACAGGCTCTACAGGATTAAGGAAAGTGATGGGATAAAAGAACCAGTATTGCCTCGAGTTCAGTTTGAAACCTTGGAAAACCTGGAGGAAACACCAGTGAGTTCCATGCAGTGCTCCCTTGGACACGAGGCCTGAAGGATGCTGGAAATGCCAGAGTTAACTCTGGATTTGAAAGGAGTCTATTATAAAAGTGACTTTTTGAGATTTACATGTGGGTTTTTGAGGTTAAGAATTTAGGAGTTGGATGTTTGAAATGGGTCTTTGAGGTTGGGTCTGTAAGTAAAACGTTAGGTCTGTAAATTAAAATGGATTGATAAATTAAAAATATATTAGGAAGTTTCAGTTCTGAGACATTAAGTTCTGCTCCTGTTTTTAAGAATTCCATGCAGGATGCTGTATTCACAGAGTGCCAGGATGGTTTGGGTTTAAAGGGATCTTAAACCCATCTCATTCCACCCCTGGGCACCTTCCCCTAGCCCAGGTTGCTCCTGATGTTTTTATTTTAGACCAGACTTAAACCCGTGTGAGAATGTTTCAATCCTTCTCTGCATTTCTGTATTTATTGTCCCTGACAGCGAAGTTTAGCTAAAAAATTCCATGCTAAAAATCTCCTTTCCGTTCCCAGTTTCCCCTGCAGAAGCCCGAGGAGGGGGCAGCTCAGGAGCTCTCCCTGTCTGAGTGGAGCATTTGGCAGAATCAGCCTCTGCCCACATTCCTGGTGGATCACTCGGATCGTTGTCACCTCTTCATCAGGGCCATGGAAATGATGGAGCTGATGAGGAACCAGCAGGTAAGAAACGTGCCCAGGGGCTGAATGCACAGTTAGAACAGTTTAAAAAGAATGAAATTTTAAAAAAAAACAGTAATTGTGAAATGAATTATGTGTATTTAAACTTGTTTAAAAATGTCTCTCACTGCTGTGCTGTGATTCCTAATCTTTTCCACAGAAACTGTTTTAAAAAAGTTAAAAAAAAAACCCCACCCTTGAATCAGTCTTTTCTTAATGGATTCCAGTATCAGTTTGTGACAGAATGACATTAAATACAGGAGCTATAAAGGCCAAGGAGCAAAGCCACCACGAGGGATATCACAGCTATTCCAGGATTTGGGAAGAGTTTGGTGTCATGTCTACATCAAAAGCTGACAGAAAAGTCCTGCAGGAACACATGGCACATTTTGGGGGATTTGTTTTAGGCTTTTTGAGCTTGGTTTTTTTGAACTAAAAAGCCAATTGTTCCTAAGAATTGAGGGATAAGAGGAGCTAAGCCAAACAAACGTGGATGGGATCTATGTGGGAGATGGGAATTTTGTTTTCTGACAGGGATGGCTGCAGAAATCCTTCTGGAAGGCACAAGGACGTGGGTGCAGAGGTGGATGGAGGCTTCAGTGGTTCACCACCTTATTTTCCCCTCCAGCCGAGCTCCCCAAATGTTGCCTCTCAGCACGTGGAGGTTTTTTAGGTCATCAGAAGCTGTTGCTAAGCTGCCAGAGTTTCCTGGATAATACCAGGGCTAATCAAGGAAGGAGAATGGAGACATTGTGGTTGTGCTCCTTGGGTGTGAAAGGGAGGCTGTGATCAGAGCTGGCCAGCTCAGAAAAGCTTCTCCATCCCACCAGAGACATTCCTGACTCCTCTGATGTTGGATTATACCTTTTTCTGACCCAGAGATGGGGCAACTGAGAGGTGTTTTAAAAGCTTTTATTCCATTTTCAGTCTCATGAGAAGGGTGAGACAACACAGATGTCATAATTCATGTCATCACAATTAGAAGCCAACTATTTCTTAATTACAATACCCTGTAAGTGTTTTTTGCCTATCAGCTTTAGCTACACTATGTTGTAAATACCTTAAAGTTAATTATCTAAAATTACTCTTCATGGGTCTTACTACAGTGCATTTTTCATAGTTCTGTTTCTCTAAAGTATTTAGTCTTTGTAAGGCCATCCTTTGAAACTCGTTTCTAGTTTAATTTTTTTTCCACCAATTTCTGTCTCATTCTAGGGTATTTTTAAGTCAGCATTTCTTATTTCAAGGTTTGTGTACAGATGTACACTGTGTGAGCCTTCTGTCAGGCTTTGAGAATTTTTTACAAATCTATTTCCCACACTCTGCCAGTCCCTGTCCCCAGTGGGGTCAGGGACACACTGCAGAGGGAGAGGGCAGGGATGGGCACAGGAAGGATGTCACAGGATGTTCACAGAATGACCAGGCTGGAAGAGACCTTCAGGACCATGGAGTCCAGCCCAGCCCCAAGAGCTCAGCCCAGCCCTGGCCCCCAGTGCCACATCCAGGCTTTGTTAAACACACCAGGGATGGTGACTGCACCACCTCCCCAGGCAGCCATTCCACAACTTTATCACTTTGCTGGGAAAAACCTTTTCCTGATATCCAGCCTGAATTTCCTTTGATGCTTCTTGAGATGTCAGGAGGAGTGAAATGGTTCAAGAATTAGCAGGTGCCCCCTGAGCCTCCTTTTGTCCTGGCTGAGCCCCCTCAGCTCCCCTTGTGCCCTCCAGCCTTCTCCGTTTGTGTGAGCAGGCAGAGGAGCAGGTGTGCAGCTTCCTCATCCCTCACCCTCCTCACAGGGTGTCCCTGGTGAGCCCAGGGTGCCCCAGGAGCACAGGAGGTGACACAAGGTGACACTCACCCTTTGGAGCCCCCCGGGGAGAAACAAATCATGAGAAGGGTGAGACAACACAGATGTCATAATTCATGCCATCACAATTAGAAGCCAACTATTTCTTAATTACAATACCCTGTAAGTGTTTTTTGGCCTATCAGCTTTAGCTACACTATGTTGTAAATACCTTAAAGTTAATTATCTAAAATTACTCTTCATGGGTCTTACTACAGTGCATTTTTCATAGTTCTGTTTCTCTAAAGTATTTAGTCTTTTTAAGGCCATCCTTTGAAACTCGTTTCTAGTTTAATTTTTTTTCCACCAATTTCTGTCTCATTCTAGGGTATTTTTAAGTCAGCATTTCTTATTTCAAGGTTTGTGTACAGATGTACACTGTGTGAGCCTTCTGTCAGGCTTTGAGAATTTTTTACAAATCTATTTCCCACACTCTGCCAGTCCCTGTCCCCAGTGGGGTCAGGGACACACTGCAGAGGGAGAGGGCAGGGATGGGCACAGGAAGGATGTCACAGGATGTTCACAGAATGAGCAGGCTGGAAGAGACCTTCAGGACCATGGAGTCCAGCCCAGCCCCAAGAGCTCACCCCAGCCCTGGCCCCCAGTGCCACATCCAGGCTTTGTTAAACACCCCAGGGATGGTGACTGCACCACCTCCCCGGGCAGCCATTCCAGAACTTTAGCACCTTTCTGGGAAAAAACCTTTTCCTGCTATCCAGCCTGAATTTCCTTTGATGCTTCTTGAGATGTCAGGAGGAGTGAAATGGTTCAAGAATTAGCAGGTGCCCCCTGAGCCTCCTTTTGTCCTGGCTGAGCCCCCTCAGCTCCCCTTGTGCCCTCCAGCCTTCTCCGTTTGTGTGAGCAGGCAGAGGAGCAGGTGTGCAGCTTCCTCATCCCTCACCCTCCTCACAGGGTGTCCCTGGTGAGCCCAGGGTGCCCCAGGAGCACAGGAGGTGACACAAGGTGACACTCACCCTTTGGAGCCCCCCGGGGAGAAACAAAGCCCTGGCAGGGCTGGGGTCAGCGCTGACACCAGGGTTTTCACCTCCAGAGGTTCCTGGGCTCTTTCTTACACTGAACCAACTGGTGCCAGTCCAGGGACACCAAAACTGTTCCACAAAAAGGGAAGAGGCAGCATTGTCCTGGTCTAAAATCTGCTGTGATCAGGCAGCTCTGACACTGAGCTCTTGGCTGAGAGGTTCAGTAGCATTCCCTGAAGCCATCCTTGCCTTCCCTGGGGGGCACTGACAGTGCTCCCAAGGCTGGGGATGGTCCCACTGGAATTCAAAATGCTCACCTGGAGGAGAGAAAGATCCTGGGACTCCTCAGAGCCCCTGGCAGGGCCTGGAGGGGCTCCAGGAGAGCTGGAGAGGGGCTGGGGACAAGGCATGGAGGGACAGGACCCAGGGAATGGCTCCCACTGCCAGAGGGCAGGGGTGGATGGGAGATTGGGAACTGGGAATTGCTGGCTGGGCTGGAATTGCCAGAGCAGCTGTGGCTGCCCCTGGATCCCTGGCAGTGCCCAAGGCCAGGCTGGACACTGGGACACCCTGGGACAGTGGGAGGTGTCCCTGCCATGGCAGGGTGGCACTGGGTGGGAATTGAGGTCCTTTCCCACCCAAAGCACTCAGTGACTCCGTGATGGGTGCTGAGAGAATTTCCCTGTGCCATTCCCAGGATCTGATGCCTTGAGGCCTCCCTGTGGCACAGGAGCCCCTCAGAAGGGCCATGGGCTGGGGTGATGTGTGACATTTGCTGTCCCTTGAGCAGCTCTGGCCTGGGAGAACAGCTGTGATTGTCAGGATCAGCTCCCAGACCTGTTCCCTGCAGCTCTGCCCTGAGCACGGCCGGAACTGGAGCTGGGGAGAGGCTGTGGGAGGCAGGACACAGCAGGGAGCAGCAGAGTGATCCCCGGAGTGCCTGATGGAGAAAATCCCAGTCACACACCTGCCACGTGGAGCTAGCAGAGCGCTCAGGGACTGTGGCATCCAGTGGGGAAAATGGAAATAATCCCCCTTTTTGCAGAACAAGAAGCACTTCCAGAGATCTGAAACCTCCCAGGAGCCCCAGAAAGAGAGCTGGGGCAAAAGGCAGCTGTGACACAGCCCTGCAGGAGTCCCTTCCAGCCCCATCTGCCCTGATGGGAGCAGCCAGACGGGAGCAGCTCCCAGGGCAGGGAGCTGGCAGCCCTCAGGAAAGGCTCCCTGCAGCCCAGGGCTGGAGCTGGAGGGCTCAAATCCAGCTCGGAATGAGACCCAGTTTCCTTAGTAAACTCTATATCTATATTTTTTTTTTTTTTGCAAATTCAAGTGTGCTGTTTGGAAATAAGGCTGGGCAGAGTGATCCTTGGAGGGGGGGATGATATTTGTGCAGGTTTCTCAGGGACTGGGGAAGTGCCAGTGCTTTGTTTTTCCTTAGGAAAGGAGGAGGAATGCTTCATTTTAGTGTCCAGAGTGGGAGGGTTCCTCTGGAGCTTTCCCATTTCCAAGCTGGCAGTGGGAACTCACAGCTTTTCACAAGAAAAGCAAAATAAATCCCAACATGTTTGGGATTGTGTCAGTTTTTCTCCCTCTGACTCCACACACCTTGGGACACATCTCCTAAGCCTGGGATGACCCTGGAGCTGCTGGCTCTGGAATCAGCTGTCATTTATCACCTGGCTGGGGCTGCCTCAGGGGAGGGATCCTGCAGGTGAACTCCCTGCCAGCAGGGAAAACATTCCCAGATCCTCTGCAATCCCAGTGAACCTGAAAAGGCTTCCCAAGCCTCTGGAGTTTTAAATCAGATGTGTTTTGGGTGAAAATTTGGTGTTTTCAGCCAGCTGAACCTTTTTTCTCAGGAGATCCTGAATGAAAAGTTTAAAATGGTTCAAATAAGGACAGTGAAATGGTTTTATCTGGGGTTTTTTGGCCTTCATTGCCCATAAATTCTCTGATTAAAATCCTCTTCTGAGATGTGTCAAAACTTCTGCTTCCAGAGAAGGTGGAAGGGTTTGGGCTGGTTTTGGAGGGTGAGGTGCCAGGCAGCCCCAAAATCTCAGCTCTCCAATTCAAGTAGTTCCTTTGAATTGCTTCTTCTGATCTTGTTGCCGAATTTTCTAAATTCAAGCATTAATTGAGACCAGGGCTGGGTTGTTTAGACCTGGAATTGCAGGTGCTTGGTGCTTTTCCTGGGGCTGGGGTTGTGCTCCCAGTGGGAACAGAGGAGTCACAGTGGTTTGGGAGTGGGGCTGGATGGTCCAACCCCAAGCACTCCATGAATCCCTGCCCTCAGCTTCCAGCTCTGCCGTGCCCATGCTAAACACAAAGAGAGCAGGGGCAGGGCATGCTCTCAGTAAATGGAATTGTTACTGTGGAATCCTGGAATGGTTTGGGTTGGAGGGACCCTAAATCCCATCCAGTGCCATGGCAGGGACACCTCCCACTGTCCCAGGCTGCTCCAGTCCTGTCCAGCCTGGCCCTGGGCACTGCCACAGCCTCTCTGGGCACCCTCATTTATTTCCTGAGGCTCTTTAACACTCACCTCTTCAGCCTCTTTATTGATCTGCTCCTGTATTTGCCAGGGCACATGCCCTGGATTCTGTAACCATCTTTCTTTTTAGGGATCTGAGGCTGTTTTTATTGGGTAGCAGAAAGCAAAACCCAACAGAATGAGCGGATCCATCAAAAATGTGATGCCATTAGGGAGAGAATCATCTCGGTTTGGTAGAAGGAAATTGGGGTTTCTGTGTCCCTCAGGCTTCTTCCATGACTCAACTAAACAAATTGTTAAAGATCATCTCATGGAATACACTTAAACCTCCAAACCCAAGTTTTTGACAGTGCTTCTTCCCCTGAGGTGTGTTCTGGAAAGGGAGCAGTCATGGAGCAGGGGTTGATTCAGGTCCTGGAAGGGCTGGTGAGCAAAAGGCTGAGCTCGGGGAGGGGAGCGGGGCGCGCACAGGGCACCAGAACTTTGGGCAGGGAGCAGCAAAGCGGCAGTTGGGGGAAAAGATGGAAAAGATGGTCAGGAAAAACCCCTGGAAAGTGTCTTTCCGAACCCAACCTAAGGAGTTAAAGCAGTTCCAAGGGCTGGGAGGGTTTCAGTGAGCAGCATCTGCTGGGCCAGAACACACCCAAGGGAATTCTGCAGGGTTTCACCCAGGCTCCCTTTAAAGGAGCTTTAATTGTTTAATTGTGGATTTTTAATTGTTAAAAATCCACATTGTAGCTGTCTACAGATTTATCCTGAATTTTCAAATAGCAGCATCACCAGGGTTTCAACAGGCAGAGGAATCTTGTTAGAAAATGTGCATCCAAAGCAGCTCATAAGGAGAGAGGGGGTAATTGCAATTTTGGTACTTGATGCATTAAATTTAACTACTGGGAACCAGAATGGATATAATTACACATATATTTACATATCAAAAATGGAAATTTTAATATTTAATATTAATATAGTTACATAACGTTATACATTATGCTATTATAATTCAGTAAAATAAATAATTTGATAAATTATATAATATATAATATTATAATAAGTATAATATAAAATAATATTATGGTTATTATAATAACTATATACCTATAGTTATATAGCTATATATATGGTTATATAATAACTATATATAACTACATATATATAACCATAACTATATATATAAACTATGACTATTTATAACAGTAAACTCTATATCTATATATATAGCTATATAACTATAGTTATGTATATAGATATATATACTATAACTGTATATAATGATATATAATAACTATTTAGTTATGGTTATAATTATTTTAATAATATTATGGTTAGTTATGATAATATAAGTATTGTGATATAATATATAACAATATAATAAACTGATATTATATTAATGTATTCATATATTTAATATTAAAATTTTCCTTTTCTCTTCCTATTTTCTATGCTAAAAGATATTTTGTTTTTTAAAGCGAATCAGTGACTCCAGGCAGGCTCATTGATTGAGCACAATAATCTCAGAGCTGTTTTCCTGCTCCTGACCTACTTTCTGAGGAGCTGGTACAGCCTGGACTGCGGGTTAGAGGGGAGCTGAGCAGGCAATTGAAGGTTCCCCGTTTGTGCACGTTCAGGGCACCCCGTGCTAATCCCAAATGTGCCCTTTCACTCTCGCAGCACGGAGTGGCCTGCCTGGGCCGGGGCCTTTTGTGCAGGAGAAAGTGTTTGGGCTGGAAGTGGAGCAGTTACACAAGCCCTGAGCCCAAAGCAGGTCACCCAGCTCTGCCCTAGATGCTAAATTTGGCTCTGGGCTGGCCCCGGCAGCACTGCCAGGCTCCAGCAGGGCTGAGCTCCACTCACAGCACCCAGGGGTGTGGGGGGGCCTGGGGACATTCCTGGGAAATTCCTCACTGATCCTGCTGCCTGTGCTGGGATCCCACAGTCCCTGAAAGGTTTGGGTGAGAAGGAATCTTAAATCCCACCCAGTGCCACCCCTGCCGTGGCAGGGACACCTCCCACTGTGCCAGGGTGTCCCAGTGTCCAACCTGGCCTTGGGCACTGCCAGGGATCCAGGGGCAGCCACAGCTGCTCTGGGAAAATGCATTGGTTTGGGATTTGTAGGTTTAGGGGGTTGTATTTCAGTGGCTTTGGATTTGTAGGTTTTAGGGGTTTTATTTGAGTGGTTTTGGTTTTGTAAGTTTTGGGGGTTGTATTGGAGTGGTTTTGAATTTGTAGGTTTTAGGGGTTGTATTGGAGTAGATTGGTTTTGTAAGTTTTGGGGGTTGTATTGGAGTAGATTGGTTTTGTAGGTTTTGGGGGTTGTATTTGGATTGGGCTTGGGGATTGTAGTTTGCGTTCTGGGTTTGGAGGTTTGGGGGGTTGTACTTGGATTGGTCTCGGGTTTGTAGGGTTTTGGTCTTGTACTTTGATTAATTTTGGATTTGGAGGTTTTTGGGGTTGTATTTTGATTGGGTTTGGGGTTCAGATTCTAGTTTGGAGGTTTTGAGGCTTGTAGTTTGAGGTTTGGGTTTGTAAGTTTTGGAGGTTGTAGTTTGATTGCGTTTGGGTTTGTAGGTTTTGGGAGTTTTAGTTTGATTGAGCTTGGAGGGTTTAGGGGTTGTAGTTTTAGTTCGGGTTTGTAAAGTCTTGAGTGTTGGAGTTTGGCTCTGGGTTTGTAGGTTTTGGGGTTGTACTTTGGTTGATTTGGGGTTTGTAGGTTTTAGGGTTGTACTTTGGTTTATTTTGGGTTGCAAGACAATATTAGACCTGATCAGTGCTGCACTCTCACCCTCACTGTGTGGGGTGGGCAGGGGCAGCACCTCCTCCCATTTCAGTCATGTTCAGTGGTTTGGCAGCTAATTAATCCTTAATCCATTTAATTTCTGTCCTGTTTGTGTAACACTGAAATACTTGAATTGAGCCCTTGTGCAGGGGGCAGTTGCTCCTGAGATAAACCCAAACAGACCCTTATCAGCCCCATTATTGTCACTCCAGTGCTCCTCTGCTCAGGTGACAGCTGGGCACTGAACTGGAACCAGGTTTGCTGTTCCTCTTGGATTTCAGACAGAGAATTCCATGTCTTGAGTCTGTGTTCTGACCAGGCTTGAGGAAAAGGAATTATTTACAACCTGCCGGATCAAAATCATCCTAAAACCCTCTTGTGACAATTCTGTTCCTCACTGTTTTTATTAAGTCTTCTCCTAAGGCAGCTTTAGTTAAAAAATCCAGACTTGGAGTTTCTTTGGATATCTTTACAAATGGATGGTTTAAGCATCAGCATCTGTGTGAAATTTGTGTTGAAATGATGATGGTGATTAATGACAAAATCTGTTAATAGTGCACAGTTTGCTTTGCCTGCTGCAACCAGAGAGGGATCAGTCTTCAAATTCCTGGAAGGTGGCTTTGGATCTTGCTTCCAGAAATATCTTCAGACAAGCCAATCTCTAATTATAAAGTCATTTTCCTCACCCTCTATAAAGGTACCTCATGTAATTTCAGGGATTAAGGAATCCAGGGATTCATCTGCCTGACCTGCCAAAAAAGAATTGTTCTGTTCAGATCCTCCATGTCCAGGTCCACTGTGCTTTTCCCCAGTGCATGTTTAACAGAGCTGGTTGCCTTTTGAACAGCAGATTTATAGACATCCATGAAAAATTGATTTAGAGTCTGTGGGAAGTTCTGCAGGAGAGCAAAACCTCCGTCCCTGTTTGCACCCTGGCTGTGAGCAGCCCTGGCTGTGCCTCTGCTAACCAGTGCCCTGTGTCCCCAGGGAGACTGCAGCTATGAACTGGAGCTCCAGCCTCACCTGCGCATGGAAGATGTGAACATTCCAGGGAGCAAAAGGAATCCCTCCATGGCCAACCCGCCCTGGCATCAGAGAGGTCGCTGCTCCAGGAGAGACCTGCCAAAATCCAAACCAAAACCGTTCCCACCTGATGCAGGTGGGAACGAGAGTGAGCTCTTTACCACCTTTAAAAGAAGCAAAGCCAAGGCTCCCAGAAGAGCTCCTGCACTCAGGGAAGTGCCTGAGTTGCCTCAGGACCCTCCTGCCCCTCCCTCAGGAACGAGGCTTGCTGTGCCTGGACACTCTCACAAGGACGAGGGGCTGGAGGTGACATTTGACTTAAATGCATTTATTGACCTGTGTGACAGCAGTGACAGCTCTGAAGCCCCTGCCAGTCCAGCAGCACAGAACAGCCCTGCAGGTAAAGCCTGTGGGGCCCTGGGGAGGATCCACAGGGACTCGGGGTACGAGACCTCCCCCATGGCCTCGGACCTGTTTTATCTCCCCGAATCCTGCAGGGATTCCTTCACACTCCAGGGGCCACCTCAGGAGCCCCCGGGGCTGGAACAAACATTTTCCCAAGTGCAAAGGCTTTTGTCACAGTCCCCTCCCTCTGGGGATGGACTGGAGCGTTTGGAGAGCCTGATGAGAGATGAAGGAACACCATCTCCTTCCCCAGAAGTTCTCCCTGATGGTCGCTCAGAGGCACTGCAGGACAGCGTCTCCCCTGCATCCCCAAAAACTGATCCTTCACTGCTGCTCCTGGACAATCCCAAAGTGGCAGTTCCCAGGGAATTCTGTGCCTCAGGAAGTCCCCGTTTATCCAAAACTCTGTCATCTGCCAAGGCTGCTGCTGTTGAAGAGGAGCAGCTCTGGAATGACAGCTTTGATGGCCTGTTTGACAGTGAGGAGTTCCCTGAATTCCCAAACAATGCTCCCAGCAGGGACCACCCCCTGACAAAGGAGCCTTTCCTTCCCAAGGACGCGGCAGAGGCTGCCCTTGAAGTTCCTGGTGGGGAGCAGAGTCTCCATTTGTTTGAGGATGAGGCTGCTGAGGACTCAGGTGAGGGCAGCCCCATGAGCACTGAGCCTCCAGGCAGGGCAGGTCCAGCTGGGACCATCCCTGGGCCAGAGGGAGAGCCAGGCAGGGAATTTCTGTGTGTGAGCCCCACCCAGGCCTGCAGGGAATCCCTGGGAACACCAGCAGTGGCCCTGGAGAAGGATGATCCCTACGACTGCTCCCAGGACCTGTTCTCCGTGACCTTCGACCTGGGCTTCTCCATCGAGGACAGCGGGGATGAGAGCTCTGGGGAGAGCAGGAATGCTGGGGACCCCAGAGTGAACGGGTCCCTGGGGAGTGCAGAGATAGCCCTGAGTGATGGCTCCAGGCTGGAAACCTCGCCAGGGTGGGACTGCAGAAGGCTGGAGAGGAGGGACATGTCCACACCGCTGTCACGGCAGAGCAGGGGCAGGAATGGCAGGGCAGGGACCAAGGGTGCTCCTGCTGTCCTCGGGTCAGGAGGCAGCAGGAGGGGAAGGGAACCCCCTGAACCTTCGCCCTCAGCACTTCTGACCCCGACAAGCAGGAAGGGTGTGAATATCAAAGCTGTCAAAAGAATTTCTATGAAAGTCTTCTCGAATGCCAGGGAGCAAATTCCAGAGGTGCCTCCTGTAGATCAAGTCAAAGAAAGCCCATGGAGGCAGAAGTTTGGGAGATCAGCCATGGATTCACCTTCAGGAAGGACAGAGAGCCTGGAAAACACCAAACTCCGTGGATCCCATGCTGCAGGTAGGGAATTTGGTGGGACAGGAGTTAGACCTTCATGGTTAGGAAACAGGATCCAGGATCTTTTGGGTCCTCGCTTTGGTTTTATGGCTGAGGTGGGAAGGTTGAAAGGATAGAGGAATAATGGCTGTGATGCTGGAAGTTGGGTCAATGAGGGGACATTCCCTGTGTCCTGTCCCTCCATCCTTGTCCCCAGTCCCTCTCCAGCTCTCCTGGAGTCCCTCCAGGCCCTGCCAGGGGCTCTGAGCTCTCCTGGAGCCTTCTCCTCTCCAGGGAACATTCCCAGCTCTCCCAGCCTGGCTCCAGCCCTGGAGCATCCATGGCCTCTCTGGCAGTGATGTTTGCAGCTTGCCTCGGTGCTGTCACAGGGATTTGTGTCACAAAGTGCTGCCACAACTCTGGCTCTTGCTCAGCTTTTAATGGCTTCTTCTCTTGGTGTTCTCTTCCCTTTTCTGCCTCTTGCTGCCTGGGGTAATCACTTCCCCCCGGGGCTCTCCAGGGAAGCAAGATTTATTGTCCATCCCAGCTGGAGATTATCTCTTTGATTAACAAGGCTGAAGAGAACAATATTTGCCCTGCAGATCAATAAATAATCTCCTTTGGAGGTGCTTTTCTGAGAGAGGCAGGGTTTGATAGCTCAGTTCCAACAAAATTGTGTTTGGAACTGTGCAGTTCTGGTGAATGTTGTTTATTCTGTTTTCTGCAGGACCCAGCAGTGACAGCGAGGAAGAGATCGTTTTCCAGAGAAAAAACAGGATGAAAAAGAACGTTTTGAAATCTCCTGATGTGAGTCTCAGAGGAAAAAAATAGACAAGGGAAGCAAAATGGCAATTTAAACAGCAAAACACAAACTGTGTGTGCACTGATGTTCACGTTGCTCCCACAGGGGATGGACGAGAGCGACCTGGAGTCTCCAGCTCGGGTCACCAGGAAACGCCGGCGCCCTCCCAACGTGGTCAGCAGTGAAATGGGGAGAAATCGTGGGAACTCACTCCTCTCCCCTTCAGTTCCTCCCCAGGGTCTCCACACATCACGGGATCCCGTGGGTTTGGGTTGGAGGGACCTCAGAGCCCACCCAGTGCCACCCCTGCCGTGGCAGGGACACCTCCCACCGTGCCAGGGTGTCCAGCCTGGCCTGGGACACTGCCAGGGATCCAGGGGCTTGGGTGACTTTGGAGCTGCTGTTTGGCAGTGAAACATTGCAGCAGCCAGGAGGGGTGAAATAACCTGCCTGCCACAGAGCTTTGAACCAAAAAAAGCAAATTCCTGGCACATTTGAGCTGATTTTTCTTCCAAATCCCATTTTCCTGCCCCGTTGTTGGGAGGTGTCCCTGCCCATGGCAGGGGTGGCCCTGGAGCAGCTTTAATGTCCCTGGAGCAGCTTTAATGTCCCTTTAATGTCCCTGGTGCAGCTTTAATGACCCAGCCAGGGGGGGTGCAGTGCCTTTGGGGTGGTCTCTTGCTGCAGCCCTGCTCTCTGTGTGTTCCCATTGCAGTCAGACACATCCAGTGAGGACAGTGGGGATTTCCAGCCAGGAGGAGCCAAACGTGCCAGGAGCTGTGTGACAGCCAAGGTGGGTGGCACTGTGTGCCCCTGGGGACACTGAGCTCAGCTTTGGAGCAGCTGGAATTTGGGAATGCTGGGGAAGGGGCCTGGGGGGCAGCTGTGAAACCAGAGAGCAGCTCAGAGGGCAACTCCAGGGACGCCCTGAGAGGAGTCAGGTCCTGCCCAGAAAAAAAATAAAAGGGAATAATATAACAAATTATAGTCAAAATATTATATTATATTAATTATATTATATCTGCTATAGCATAGTATATTTGTTATAGTATATTATAGCATAGTATATTTATGATAGTATATTGTAGTATAGTTTATTTATTATGGTGTATTCATTATGTATATTATAGTTATTATATTTTATTATATTGTATTTATTATATTTTGTCATATTCCCTGTGAACCCCTTCCAGATCAGGGTATTCTGGGATTGTATGTTATGTTATAATAATATAACATATTTATATATTTTAACAAAATAGAAAAATGAAATATTAATATAATAACAGCAATAATTATAATTAAAATGTAATATTATTATTATTATCATCATGAGGATTGGGCTGCTTGCTCATATGGGTGATCCCCACTAATGGTCTCAGCCCTGGACATTTAAGGCAGCAATGGTCCCTCAACCCCAAATGTTAAATCTCAGCTCAGTGTTTAACACTTCAGCAGGGGTGGAGGCAGGAGAGGAGGCAGCACCACACTTACTGAAGCTAAAAAGCTCCTAAATATTCATAGCTGTGGTTGCACTGGGCAGAAATTGCCATAATCAGGGCTCCAGGGCACCATATGTTGGACACTTTTTAAATTTTTAACAATGATCTTCATTATTAAGACTTCCCTTATGATATGAGTGTTTTATGGCAAACAAACCATTCTCTTGAAGTCATGGAGATATATAATATTTTGGGGCAAATTTGATGTTTTACTTTAGTACTTTATAGCTGAAATTACAGGAGAAAAATGTAATTAATGTAAAGTATCTCAGACAAAACACCTTTCTGAGTTAGCTTGTTTTGTTTCTGTGTATGACCTTGGGAGTGTTTTGTTGCCTGGTTTTGGTAGAATTTGGGATCAAGTCTCCTGCCCTGCAGTCACAAGGGAAGTGCCTCATCTTCCTGGGCTGAGCTGCACCACCTGAGGTGTTTTCAGCATCATTGTCTGATGAGTCCTAAATCCAGAGCAGAAAAGGGCAAACCAGGGTGGGCTCTGTGTCTGCAGTTCCTGCTGCACTTGGGTTTGCAGGAATCCAAAATCAAACTGGATTTTTGAAAGCAAACAAGATGAGTAAAACTTTACAGAGTGACCTGTTGTGTGTGCTGGGCACTCTGTGCTGGGCACTCTGTGCTGTCACTGTGTGCTGTCACTCTGTGCTGGGCACTCTGTGCTGTCACTCTGTGCTGTCACTGTGCTGGGCACTCTGTGCTGTCACTCTGTGCTGTCACTCTGTGCTGTCACTGTGTGCTGGGCACTCTGTGCTGTCACTGTGTGCTGTCACTGTGTGCTGTCACTGTGTGCTGTCACTCTGCTGTCACTCTGTCACTCTGTGCCATTCCCTGCCCCAGCAGTGGATCCCCTGCCCAGGCCGGATCCCTGCGCTGCTCCCGGCGCTGCTGGAGCCGTGGGTGGCTGGGACAGAGCTCCCAGGGCAGTGCTGTTCATTAGGGGCAGGTTTTAATTGCCCTGGCTGTGCAGGCTGCAGGCAGGCAGTTCCTGGACGAGGAGGCCGAGCTGTCCCAGCTGGATGCTGAGGGGATCTCGTCGGACGAGAGCGACGGCTCCGGGGAGGAGCTGAGCCCCTCCCTGGCCCAGTTCCTGAATGATGAAGGGGAGCCCCCACAGGCCCTCAACGGTGAGTGGGGAACTCCCAGAGCATCCCAGAGCCAGGGCATCCCTGGGGTGGGAGCTGGCAGCAGTGACCTGCTCACCCAGGCTCAGGAGCTGCTCCTGCCACGGCAGCCAGGGCTCTGCCAGCCTGGAGAACCTCCTGCATCCTGAGGGAGCAGCTGGGGCTGGGCCAGGGAGGGTCAGGCTGGAGATCAGGAAAGGTTCTTCCCCCAGGCACTGCCCAGGGAATGGGCATGGCCTCGAGGCTGCCACAGCTCCGGGAGCTGCCAGGGATGCCCAGGGTGGGATTGTTGGGGGTCTGGGCAGGGATGGGGCTGGGATGATCCTGGGGGTCCCTCCAGCTCAGGATATTCTGGGATTGAATGGCAGCTTTCATGACACAGGCTGGGTACACTTGGAATCCCAGGACTGTTTGGGTGGGAAGGAACCTCAAATCCCACCCAGTGCCACCCCTGCCATGGCAGGGACACCTCCCACTGTCCCAGGCTGCTCCAGCCCCAGTGTCCAGCCTGGCCTTGGGCACTGCCAGGGATCCAGGGGCAGCCACAGCTGCTCTGGGAAGTCTTCCCAGTATCTGGGAATTCCTTCCCAATCTCCCATCCACCCCTGCCCTCCTTCATCTCAAAGCCTTAGGCCTGGCTTTTGGGATTTCTGGAGAGGGCTGGAGAATTGCTTTGGGAAGCACAGGCTTTTGGGAAGCCATAAAGGAATATGCAAAACACAGTGTAACTGGTGTGAATGAAAAATTCCCTCTGTACTAATCCTGCATTAATTCTTTTTTCTGGTGTGGGTTTCAGACAGTGAGATGAGGGGAGTTTACCTGAGCTCCGTGCGCAGCCCCGCCCTCGGCAGCCGCTACAAGATGGTCCATCGGGAATTCAACGCCTCGGCCATCTTCTCCCAGGTGGGAAGAGCAGGGGCTCCTCTCCTTGGGGACCTCCCCTTGTGGGGCCACAGTGAGGTTCTTGGCCTGCTTTGAAGAGCAGTTACAGCCTTTTTTTGGTAAATTGCAAGTTCCAACATAAAACTTCAGCCTGGAGAAGGGAAGGATCCAAGAAAAGCTCAGAGCCCCTGGCAGGGCCTGGAGGGGCTCCAGGAGAGCTGGAGAGGGACTGGGGACAAGGGATGGAGGGACAGGACACAGGGAATGGCTCCCACTGTCAGAGGGCAGGGATGGATGGGAGATTGGGAACTGGGAATTGCTGGCTGGGCTGGAATTGCCAGAGCAGCTGTGGCTGCCCCTGGATCCCTGGCAGTGCCCAAGGCCAGGCTGGACACTGGGACACCCTGGGACAGTGGGAGGTGTCCCTGCCATGGCAGGGTGGCACTGGGGGGGATTGAAGCCCCTCAGCCCTGGTATTTGTGTGTGGGCAGGGCTGGATAAGCCAAGGGCCCTTCTGGTGAGCAGCAGCAGAACCACTGCAGCTTTCCAAATCTCCCTGGCTGCGTTTCCCCCCAGATCCCCGAGCAAGACGTGGCTTATGCCGAGGACAGTTTCTGCGTGGGGGATGAGGAGGAGGAGGCTCCCGGCGGCTGCAGTGAGGAGGAGGTGTGTGTGGATTTGGAGCTGCTCACCGCGGAGGGCTGCAGCAGCAGCAGCAGCAAGCAGTACCTGACCCGCCGCAGGAAGAGGCTGGGCCAGGCCCGGCTGGCAGGGAGCGCTCCTGCCCCGGGGCAGAGGAAGAAACCTTCCCGAATCATTGTCCTGAGTGACTCCAGCGAGGAGGAGACGGGAGCCAGCAGGGAGAAGCCCCTGGAAGCAGGGCAGGGCAAGGGGCAGCTCCCCAGGGCCCTGCCCTCAGCCCCCTCTGCACAGCACGGGAGCGGGGCTGGGGAAGGCACAGCTCCTCAGCCTGGGGGGCAGGACACAGACAGGCTGCTGGGCCTGGAAGCTTCGGCCTCTGGGATGCTGGATCCCCCCCCAGAGCAGGCAGGCAGGAGCTCATCCATCCCCCCAGCTGGCTCTGGCTGCAGGAGCACAGATCTGCAGGCTGCTGCTGAGGTCAGTGCTCAGGGAAAGCAGGGAGCTTCCTCGTGGGAGAGAATTCCTGTGCCAGGGCTGTTCTGAGGGCTGGCAGCAGCAGGAGTCAGGGAATCATGGAATGGTTTGGGTTGGAAGAGACCTTAAAGCCCATCCCATTGCACCCCTGCCATGGGCAGGGACACCTGCCATAGACCAGGTTGCTCCAACCTGGCCTTGGACACTTGCAAGACCATCTCCCTTTCCTTGCTGCTAGAAGCTTTGTATTCCCAGGGTAAACTGGATTATTTTAGGAGTGAACACATTAAAAGTGGGGTTAGATTCTCCCTTGGTCTGACAGTCATGGAGGTTTGTGGATCTGTCTGAAACAGCAGTGTACACTGGTTCTTTGGGTTTGTATTAGAAAATCCTGGTTCACTGTCTGAATTCAGGGCCTTCAGCACCTCCCTGAGGTTGGGTTCCTGATCTCTCACTCTTCCCAGCCTGATCTCTGTCCTTTACAGGATCCAGGTTTTGTTGAACTTCTTAGTGAAAGCTGCTGCTTTTGTCATCCAAACTCTGGGACAATCAGCTCAGCTCAGTGGGGAGACTGATGCAGGGATTAAAGTGTCAACCTGAAAGTGTTGATACTGCAAAACATCCTTTTATTGATTTGAGTAAAACCCCCACGATCTGTGATTTTCATCACTCACAGGTGTACAGCTCTTTGAAGAAGACCCACGGGAGCAGCTCAGGCTCGGCGTGTCCTGCTGTCCCAAACTCTTCCTCAGCCACGGCTCGGATTTCCAGTGTTCCCGGGGAGCACAGCCCCTCCCCGGCTGGGATCTGCCGTGTTCCCGGGGAGCACAGCCCCTCCCCGGCTGGGATCTGCCGTGTTCCCGGGGAGCACAGCCCCTCCCCGGCTGGGATCTGCCGTGTTCCCCCTGAGCACAGCCCTTCCCCGGCTGGGATCTGCCGTGTTCCCGGGGAGCACAGCCCTTCCCCGGCTGGGATCTGCCGTGTTCCCGGGGAGCACAGCCCCTCGCTGTGCATCCTGGCGGACAGCCGGGAGGTCTGCTCGGGGCCGGAGGTGCTCTCGTGCCTGCGGGCCGTGCACGGGCTCCGGGTGCAGGTCTGCTCCCTGGGCACCAGCGACTACATCGTCAGCAACCGCCTGGCCGTGGACAGGGTGCTGCAGTCGGAGCTGCAGAGCCCTGGGAACAGGAATAAACTCAGCCAGAGGCTGCAGCGCCTGCAGGGCATCTTCGAGAGGATCTGTGTGATTGTGGAGACAGACAGGGTCAGGCCAGGTGGGTGCTGCCAGAATGCCCTGCTCTGAGGGACACAGGGAATGGCTCCCAGTGCCAGAGGGCAGGGATGGATGGGAGATTGGGAATGGGAATTGCTGGCTGGGCTGGAATTCCCAGAGCAGCTGTGGCTGCCCCTGGATCCCTGGCAGTGCCCAAGGCCAGGTTGGACACTGGGACACCCTGGGACAGTGGGAGGTGTCCCTGCCAAGACTGGGATGGGATGGGATGGGATGGGATGGGATGGGATTTAAGGTCCCTCCCACCCCAAACCATTGTGGGATTCCATGTCAGGAGCAAGCACAATTTTATCCATGCACAGGCATTTGTTTTAATCCAAAAATCCAAACCCTGCAATGAAATGATTCCACTAGACAATAACAGGATCTTGCTTTCCTGTGCTTCCACTCAGGAGAAACATCCCGGTGTTTCCAGAGGACCCAGTACTACGATGGAGTGCTGTCAGCCTTGGTGCAGGCTGGAATAAAGATCCTCTTCAGCTCCTGCCAGGAGGAAACTGCAGCTTTGCTGAAGGAGCTGGCTCTGCTGGAGCACAGGAAGGACGCTGCCATCCAGGTGCCAACGGAGCCGGAGGGGCACCGGCGGGACATCCTCAACTTCTTCCTGAGCATTCCCAACCTCAGCTACGGAGCTGCCCTCAACCTCTGCCACTCCTTCGGCTCCATCACAGCCGTGGCCAACAGGTAGGGCCAGCACAGGGCCCGGCAGGGGCTCCAGGGCCCAGCCTTCCCTCCTTCTGCTCCCCTGGAGCCAGGGAGAGCCTTCTTGCACCTTTCCTGCCGGGATAGCTGCACAGGGAATCCCTTCCTGCACCTTTCCTTCTGGGATCATTGCTCAGGGATTCCCTTCCTGCACCTTTCCTGCCGGGATCATTGCTCAGAGAATCTCATCCTGCACCTTTCCTGCTGGGATCACCTCTCAGGGAATCCCTTCCTGCACCTTTCCTGCCGGGATCATTGCTCAGGGAATCCCTTCCTGCACCTTTCCTGCCGGGATCATTGCTCAGGGAATCCCTTCCTGCACCTTTCCTGCCGGGATCATTGCTCAGGGAATCCCTTCCTGCACCTTTCCTGCCGGGATCATTGCTCAGGGAATCCCTTCCTGCACCTTTCCTGCCGGGATCATTGCTCAGGGAATCCCTTCCTGCACCTTTCCTGCTGGGATCACCGCTCAGGAAGAGCCTTTCCCACCCTCTCCCAGGAGCTTTCCTGTTCCATCTCAGCTCTTTGCACATTCCTGTCCCTCCTGCTGAGCAGCCCAGGGCACTGACAAGGGCTCTGCTTCCACCCTCCCTCCTGCTGCCCCATGCTCTCTTTCCCTCGGCATTCCCTGTTTTCACTGCTCAGGTGTGCTGCCAGCCCTCGGGCACCTGTGCAGAGGTGACCGCAGCAGCTCCCGGTGCTGCCCCATCCCGGGCAGTGCCTCCAGGGGCTCCCGGTGCTGCCCCATCCCGGGCTCCAGTGCCTCCCGGTGCTGCCCCATCCCGGGCAGTGCCTCCCGGGCTCCTCCCGTTCCCTCTCTTGCAGCTCGGTCCCGGCGCTGGCGGCGGGGGCGCGGCTGAGCCGGCCCCAGGCCGAGGAGCTCCATCGGTTCCTGCGCCACGACTTCGACCTGCAGCTGCTGCCTCAGCCCCTGCCCGCCAAGGGGAAGAGCTGAGCTCGGCACTCCGGGCCCTGCACTGCACTTTACCCACTCGGGATTGGATGTAAATGATGTAAATAAACGCTTGTCAAACCTCAGGGTGTGGGAGCTGCACCGCCCCGGGTGTCCCCAGGGTCCCTGGGCACAGCTCTGGGGCAGGGCTGGGGTGATCATCCCCAATTCCTGTGAAAACCACAATAATGGTTGGGGTACTTTGGCAAAGCTTTGGGCAGTGGCGGAGAGGAGCCCAGCAGCAGCTCCTGCCATCGCTGCAACACCACCCCGCGTTTCCAGCTCAAACGGGAATTGCCCGGTGTTCCCGGGACAGGGGTGGGGTTCCGGGGGCCCGGCAGCGCGGCCCCGTCCCTTGGTGCCTCTGCCCGGGCTCAGGTGCCCGATCCTTCCCCAGCCCCGCCGCCGCAGCCTCTGCTGCCACCAGCTGGAAAAGGATCGGGATCGGGATTCCCGGTCCGGGCAGCAGCACGGCCCGGCCAGAGGCTGGGACAGGGAGAAATCCATCCCTGGAACAGGAGCTGTCCTGGGCAGCCGGGTCAGCCACGGCCCCGCTCAGGGGAGACACCTGCAGAGCTGCCCCAGCCCTGGAGAGCGTCCAGAGGAATCCACGGAGCTGCTGCAGGGCTGGAGCCCCTCTGGAGCCAGGCTGGGAGAGCTGGGAATGTTCCCTGGAGAGGAGAAGGCTCCAGGGAGAGCTCAGAGCCCCTGGCAGGGCCTGGAGGGGCTCCAGGAGAGCTGGAGAGGGACTGGGGACAAGGATGGAGGGACAGGACACGGGGAATGGCTCCCACTGCCAGAGGGCAGGGATGGGTGGGAGATAATTGGGAATGGGAATTGCTGGCTGGGCTGGAATTCCCAGAGCAGCTGTGGCTGCCCCTGGATCCCTGTCAGTGCCCAAGGCCAGCCTGGACACTGGGACACCCTGGGACAGTGGGAGGTGTCCCTGCCATGGCAGGGTGGCACTGGGTGGGATTTGAGGTCCCTTCCCCCCCAAAGCACTCCATGATTCCAAACCAAGAGGATGAAACCTTGCAGGCACCATTCCAAGCTGGACAGCTCCTGGATTCTGCTGCCCCACAACAGCTCTGAGTAATCTGTGAGTAAAAAAGCTTCTCCTTGTTTATTACATTAAGGAAAAGTAAAAATTCAGGCTTTCCCTAGAGTAAATTAAAAAGCAATTTCAGTTCCTTCTGGACTGCTGCTAAATTTATTATACAGCCCTATCCCAGAAGATATTTTAGCTTAAAGTGAATCAGAACTTGGCAGTCATTGGTATCTATGTACATTCCTCCTTCCCAGGAGAAACAGGACAAGGATGGGGGGAGTCTGGACAAGGAAATGCCAAGCATTGCCAGCAGGGTGGAATGGAGCTAAAACATATAAAAACACAGCAGGGCAGCTTTTCCAAACTGAAATCATTCCAGCATTCCCTCCCAGAGGGGGAGCAGAACCCCCATGCTCTGAACAAGTGCTGAACAGCACATCCATAAAAGTCCATCACATGGAAAAGTAGGAATCCTTCTCCTCCTCACTGGACACGTCTGGAGTCTCAGCTGTGAAGAGCTTCCCCACCAGCGGGGCCGGGGTCACTCCTGCAATAAAACCAGGGATCAGCAGGGGATGGCCCAGTGGGAAATGGGGGCAGAGAAGGTTCAGAGAGCAAAAGGCTGATGGGACACAGCTCATGGTGATGGAGAAGGAAGGGAGGGAGCTGGAAATGAGGAGGAGGAGGCAGGAATACTCACTCTTGGTTCTGCAGGAAGCCGGTGTCTCGAGCACGGCTCTGGCCTGAGGGAGGGAAGGGAAGAGGCTCAGCCAGGGCTGGCACCAGCTCAGGGTCCCCATTTCCCAGAATTTCCACAACTGCTTTCCCTGAACCACAGGCACAAGCTGCTCCCAGGATCACAGGGTTTTATGGAAAAGCCAAAGGAGCTGCAGAGCCTGGGAGTGGAGGAATCGATACCTCATTCAGGGATACAAGGTTCACTTATGGTCACTGCTAGGAGTCAGACTGGGTGATCCTTGTAGGGCCCTTGTGGGTACCTCAGGATATCCTATGGGTATTGTTCCTTTTCCCACTGTTCAGAAGAATTTAACAAGAACCTAAAGACCACAGAATTCCACAGCAATTCCAAACCCTGACTAAAAGCAATGGAGTTAATCCTGACAATGAAGAGCTCCCTTCTCACAAAGGAACTTCTCTCCACAGCAGCAGATACCAAACCCAGGCAGGGTTCCCATTTTCCATCCAGAGCACACAGGGGGCTGTGATCCCAGGATTGTGCCTGGCTCAGGTGGCAGTGGGCAGAGTCCAAGGAAAGCAGCATTACCGGCTTCTTCTTGACCGTGTCCCAGGTGCCTCTGTTGCCCTGCATGTTCTTCTGCATGCGGAACACGTGCCGGTCGTAGTCATTCCTGGGACACAAGGGAGCAGGGCTCAGCGGGGCTGGAATGCTGCCATGGGACCCCCTGCATGCAGCCAGGGAGCCCACAGGGAACGAGCAGGGCTGGATCACAGGCTGCACATGGCAGTGCAGGGATCACAGCAAGCCTCATCCCCTTCCCAGGCCCAGCCGTGTCCATGACACAAAACCCCAGTGGCTCCAGGTTCCCAGATGGCTCCGGATTTGGAGCAGAGCCTGAAGCCCTGGGTGAACAGGGCAGGACTGAAGGCTCTGCTGAGGCTGAAGGCCATTCCCAGGGCTGGGAGCAGGAGCTGCCCACAGGGAGCTGACCAGCTCCAGCAGCACATGGAGCTCCAGGGAAGAGCTTCTCCCAGGCAAACCAAGGCTGCAGGAGTGGCTGGAAGTGAGCTGCTGTCCCAGCCCCACAGCCACCTTTCTCAGAGACAAAAAGGGATCTTGGGGCAATGCCAAGGTTCACAAAGGGCTGGTGGAGGAGCTCCTACCTGTTGATGGGGACCAGCATTCCCGGGCTGATGTGCTCACACTGTGGAGTTTTCACAGGGGGAAAGAGGCCTGAGGAAGGGGTGAGTGGGAACTCTGAGAGGGCGAAATCTTCGGTGTCCCCGTCCTGGCTCCCTCGCAGTGCTGGCAGCTGTAGAGCCACCTCAGAGCTGTCAGTCACCTGAGCCTGGTGTTTCTCTCTCCCCCCTCCCTGCCCTGGATCTGACTCCCCCTGTCCCTGCTGAGGCACAGCTCCAGCCCCGTGCCCAGAACTGGGCACGACCCTGCACCTCCACCTTGGTCCGAGTGCCCCTCCAGACCTGCCCCAGCACTTGGCTGAGGGGTTTTGGTGCTGCCACACCCTCAAAAAGTCATTTCTGGTTACAATCCCAAGCTCCAAGCTGCCCAGGACTCCTCAGAAGGATGATTTCTCAGGTGGTGCTGTCACCATGCAGAGGATCCTCCCAGCCTGTCCAATGCCACCAGCCAAGGGCGGCTACAGCACGTGAAGTAAAGGATCTTCCCAAAGAACCCCAGGACTGCATTGGTGGAACTGGAGCAGCCCCCAGCACAGCCAGCAGGACAGCAGTCCCACAGGAGCTGTCCCAGGTTTACCTGGACCATCCTCTTCTGGAAGGGCGTCGCGGTGAAGATGTCGTCGTGGTTGTCCTTGGGCAGGTGCTCCAGGAACTCCCTCATCTGCTGCTTCCGTTTGAGGGTGCCCACCTTGGCAGTGATCTCTGGCTCCTTCTCATCTGCAGGATCCAAACAGGAATTGTCTCAGACAGCAGCCACGGGGTTAAAATTCACTGTCTGCAGTCAGTGCCACAGCCCATTCTGTCCTCTGGTGGAATCTCTTACAGCTTCTTGAGGATCCTTTTGAGTTCTCACACAATTTTTGCTTTCCAAAGCAGTTTCCCCACTCCATCTTCAGGGGAGGGTCACTGCAGAGCCTCCCAGAGCCACTGCAGGTCATTGTGACTGTGACAGAGCTGTGCTCACGTGTGCCTTGCAGAGGGCAAACCCACAGCTGTGTCCCCGTGCCAGGAGCAGCAAGGCTCAAAGGCTCCGCTGCTCAGGGACACTTCTACTGAAGGCAGGCTCAGGAATGCTCAGCTCAACTTGTATCCATGGCAAACCTTAATCCAATCCAGCCCCCAAATGAAGCTGCAGCGTGGGGATGGCAAACAGCAGAGAATGGGACTGGGCTGTGCTGACTCCACACTGCCCTTGGGCATCCAAGAACCCAAATCCCATCTGGACAGAGCTCTGCAAGGAGCTTATGACCTTCTGGGCCTCCAGGAGACCCTCAGGATGTCAAGAGCTCTTTCCCCTGAGGGGTGAAGGTCAGAGAAAGTCTTCCCCTCATGTCAACAACTAGAAAACTCTACAGGAAGAGAGATTCTTTCCTTTCTCTTGTCACCTCAGTCACTGATGACATCCTCCAATCTCCACCCCAAAAGGTGACCTGGCTCACTGCCACACCCTGATGTGTTCTTGTGGATGTATCCCATGGGAGCAGAATTGGTGAGGCTGGAAAAGCCCTCCCAGCCCATCCAGTCCAACCCTTCCTCAGCACTGCCCCATGTCTCCAAGTGCCACATGCACAGGGCTTTTAAATCCCCACAGGGATGGGCACTCCAAACCTCCCTGAGCAGCCCCTGAGCCCCCTTTCCATGGGGAAATTCCTGCTGTGCCCACCCTGAGCTGCCCTGGCCCAGCCTGAGGCCGTTCCCTCTGCTCCTGTCCCTGTTCCCTGGAGCACAGCCCGACCCCCCGGCTGTCCCCTCCTGGCAGGAGCTGTGCAGAGCCACAAGGGCCCCTGAGCCTCCTGTGCTCCAGGCTCAGCCCCTTCCCAGCTCCTCAGGAATTCTCCAGCCCTTCCCAGCTCCCTTCCCTTCCCTGGACAGGCTCCAGCCCTCAGTGTCTGCATCAGAATGATTTACCACCCACACAACACCCAGAAAGAAGACGCTGGTACCTTTCTTCTCAGATTTTCCCGACATGGTTTTCCTGGGCTGCTGTTTGGAGCCTTTCCCCTGCTGCTCCTCCAGGTACTTGCCCTGGCACTCCTCGGCCGAGCGGGACCCCACGGCCATGGCCACCTCCTGCCAGAAGCCGCTCCTGTGCTTCGGGAACGCCGCGATGGCCCTGCGGGGACAGCACGGGCACAGCGT